CCAAGAATGCAACCGGCAAGTCAGTGTCCGCGGACAATCCGAAACAAACAGGCATCCTGCCTCAGCTTCATGCTGCTGCTCGCCGGCAGCCTCCCAAGCATTGCAAAGCATTTCTACGTCCACTCCGGATCCCAACTACCCGGGTGCCTGCCATGCGTCTTGCGCGGCCGCCAACTCCGACCTGTCAAATTGCAAAGCAATATTTTCATTCCCTTGGGCGAATGACCGGCTGAGCATCGGTCTTCAGATTCAGCAGCTCCTCCACGGTCAAGGTAGCAGATACAAGAGTCATCAATACTGGCAAGAAGACCAACATCGACCTACATGTCTATAAGACGAGAAAAATGAGCCGGAACACGCTCTGTGTGCAAGGCTTTGCCTGTTCGTGGGACGTTGCAGCAGGTACCGACTTTGACAAGAGCCTGAGAACTCGTCAGAACGGAATGTCCGGGCTCATTTGAGAAGCTGTTACTTCCCCACTGCCAAAGCACATCTTCCACCAAATAGTACATTGAAGTGTTCAATCAGTCAAGACTTCAACATGACACTTGCTGCGCTCCAGATACTTACTCTTCGTTTGCATCGCGATTCTCTGAATCTCTTCGCCTGGACTCTGGAATATAAATATTCGTCCTCAGAAATCTCTACCAGACATCATACGCTTTGCGAGCACAGGTCAGTGCACCGATAATGATGAAGATGCTCAGGTACGGGACCGACGCACTGTTGTCACGCTTTCGGAAAGCACGAGTGACTCTACATCTTCCTCGGGCTGTATACAACGGCTGAAGCCAGACCTCCTGTAAAAATCAAATATCACCTCATATCCAAACAGCAAACGAGCGGCGCAGTGAGCTGTGCATCGGTCGCCGGCTTCCGCAACTGGCAACTCATTGACTCTCGAAGACCAAAACGTGACTCATCTTATTCCGCGAGATCCCTCCAACTACAAACTAACTGCCGACGCAGGCCTCTTTTGATGGGGTCTGGAAGCTGTCAACCTGAACGACCGCTCCAAATAGAAAGCCCACCGCCACCTGAGATGCACGTGCCAGTGAATGAGCGCGCGGCGGAAACATCCTCCTTGTTCAAGACTTGGACCTCAATAATTCATGAATGGGGGTAATTGCTGCATAACGGACTTATCATGCTCAGGATTATAGGGGCCCCTACGGCCCCGACCCTCCGCGGTGTCACGCACGCCGACGAGGCCGCCTGGGATAAATGCACGCTGATAGACTAAGCACGCTATGCTGGATACCGATCAGGCTGCGGCAGCACGTTGAACCGGACGCTGCACCTCAAAACCTTCAGAGCAGTGTTTACAACTGAATCCATAATGAATCAGCATACTGGCGGCGCCACGATACCGCGGAGGTGTGCTTGTTCGTAAATGAATTGTCGGCCTCATCATTCAAAACAAATCACCGAATCATGTCATTTCTCCTAAGGGCCAAACAATTGACGAGCTTGACCTCAGACAAGGTCCCGTGCGAAAGTTGGAGAGTTCGATTGGGTGTCGGATACCAAGCTTCCGACCTCGCGTGACTGAGACCTGGGCCGTGTGTATGCAAGCCCTGAAGACTAGCTTGTGGGAGGGAATGAGGAAAAAACCGACTGCGAGATGCAGTTCTCACTTGCTAAGCAGGCGGTCAACAACTTCCGATGATCAACTCTGTAGGCTTCCCAGTCCAAGTCGCCACTAGAGGCGACGACGCCCTTGGTAGGGGTACGCCAGTGCGCGCAGCAGGTGCCATGATGTCGCAAGGCCCGATCAGAAGAGGCTGCGAGCTGCCAAACAGATGCACAGCCCGGTGCTCACATTATTTCACACACGTTCCCCAAGTGTTAGCATATTTTTGTACAGATCTAGATCTCTATTTCACTTGACAACTAAAACTTCCTTGACAATATACGACTATTCTATTATCAGTATTCGGGTACAAGAAGATACTGACATACTAAAATCAACACATATTTTGGTGTAAGTCAACTAATATTTGTTTAATATTTGGTCGAAAGTATGAAGATCTTCTTATCTCATCCTTCAGATTTCTGGTGTTAGGATTATAGAATTCTCTATATGCTAGTGTATAGATGAGTTTTTGAAAAAATGCAAAAATCTACATATATTTATCTCCGGAAAATCTTGGCCCAGTGGATTCCAGAATGTTCCGAAGACGTGTAGAACGGTGTGTTTTGTTGTGTTTGGTGTTGGTTCGGTTTTGCTTTCTTCTTTTGGTTGGTTGGCTGGCATTCTTTGGTATTGCGTGTTTTGCGTCTTACACTTCTGGTTTGATAGTTTTGATTGTGTCGATTTGGATTGGGTTTCTGTCATCATCTTTTGTGTATTGCTTCCACATAAAATCGACAATCTTCCCAAATCGCCCACTTTGATTCTTCGAGGACACATGATCTATATCGTTGCTAGGTCGTGCTGCTTCCATCGGTCTGCGAAAAGAAACAAGCCTGTTCACGCCGTTTTTTTGGGGGTGTGCGATTTAAACTAGCGCTAGGCAACGTGAGTTTAGAAATCGTCTCATTGAAAATTAGAAAGCAAAAAGAAAGATTCATACTGAAAAGAAAGGTATTATATATATAACAAGAAGGAGATGACCGAAGAATCAACACTGATATCATATACAACGAAGAATTAATGAAGTCTTCAAACCATCCATGATTGATCTTCTAATATTTCAATAAAATTTGACTCTTCGAACTCATATAATATAAATGCTTATCTATAAAAATCTGCACCAAATCCATCTGAAGATATTCAGTTTCTATTTAGATATAAGTTCTGAACATATTTACCATGCATATATCTTCCAAATATATGATAAAATAGATCCTACAAGATGAAATATATTAATGAATACCACTTTTCAATCATTCATATGCTGGCAATAGAAATCCATAATTAGAAACTAGAATTGATATGAATAATTTCGTGGAAATAACTCGAAGATTCCAAAAGGGTCTGGATCATTATTAAGCCCCACCTTCGCCCCCAATTAAATCTGGTGCCCCGGGAACCCGAAGAAGAATGATCAGTAAAAAAAATCCCATAGGAAAGTTTTGTCATTCTTTACCTCAATCGATTCTCAAATAAGAAAATTGATACACTGTCTGCTCCCGTGAGAAAGCCAGTGCCATAGATATCTTCGTTGTAAGAAGAATCCTTATCATTAATCATCTCGAAAACAATACGTACTGGCTTGTTTTTACGTATTTTCATGAGCAGAACCTTTCTGATAATGAAGAAATCTTGATTGAATATCATATCCGAAATAGATACTCTAATTTTCGTCAGTGTAGAACGATGCGCATTCTGCTGTTTGAGTTTAGAGTCTAGACCTTCTGGGGAAGAGTTCATGATAGGAGCCCAAAGCCTAGTGTGATAGTCCTCTCTCCAGCGGCGCCTGAGAAGTGCCAGCAGAGTACCACTGTCGTCCTGACCCCATCCGCTTTTTCTTGTCAACTTGCGACAGCATGTCACACCGCTGTTCCGTGAACGAGGTATGTGATCGCACGTGTGCCCTGCGCCTGCTTGCATTACAGCTGAGATGTCAGCTGTCAGCTGTGACACAGCCATAAACTGATTGTACCTGGTTCACTCACTTTCAAATCTCTCCAAAGTATAATTCGGAATGCACGCAGCAGGACCGGGAGCTGCAACAAGGAAATCATCAGGAGATCTGTCATTTCGACGACCCTTGTGGCTAGAAACATCATACCAGATTTTCGGAAAGATCCGACGGATGCTGCGTGTGCTCCGTGGTCTGCTGTCTAGTATGTACAAGGAAGGCATTTGTGATCTGATCTGGGTAAACCAAACATGCGGACTTATGATGGAAGCTTGCCCATGGATTGAAGCTGTCAAGATGAAAGCACCGACGCCGGGATCACACTGCACATATTCGTGAAACCTCTGGACTTCATCTTCGCTGCTCGAGAAGTTGAAGTTCAGCTTGGTGAGCCTGACTCTGACATCGGTGACAACTAAAACCTGAAGACCCTAAGCCCTAAAGCGTCCCTAAAGCCCTACACCCTAAAAACCACAAACCCTAAAACCCTTTTGAACGAGGTCTAAACCCTAGACCCTAAAACCCTAGACCCCAGAAAAAATCAACCCTCTGCAAATCCCGAACCCAGCAAGACTCCCATGGGCCTCAAGTCTTGCTGGCTGATCGACTGGCGGCCTCAAAGCAAACTTCCGAGCTGCTCATGAGATGAGACAGGCTCTGGGGACCACCTCAACTAAAGGTTTGGATTTGATGACTACGGGTTTTGATTTGATTATTACGGGTTTCGACGCTCACACCCGTACAATTGTTAAGGGTTACGCTCTCGCAACTCGGACAATCCTGATTATTCAGGGTTTCGACGCTCACACTCGCACACAGCAGGCTCATTATTCAGGGTTGACGCTCTTGGGTTAGAGGTTTACAGGGAGTTTATGCTCTGGGATTCAGAGGTTTACGCTCTCGCAACTCGGACATGCCAGACGAGGTTCTTGGTGCGCGTCGGGTGCTACAAGATAGCAGTGGATTCGAGTCCCGTTCTCAAACACAGCAACACGAAGGTAAGATCACAAAGGACCAGGTTTAGAGGTTTGGGGTTTAGGGTTTACCAAGACAAGGAGGGTGCATCAGAAACGCGTCAGGAGAGCCGGTTCGCACGGAAGCTGACATGCTAAAATTTCACAGTCGGAAGCCATTTCTCCGTTTCTTGTCCGTTCCTTCTGGGTCTGGCGCATGCGCGCTTGGCTGGAGGCATTTTGCCGCACTGAGAAGATGGCAGAGTGGATTTTGCATCTGCCAAGGGCCCCGGGTAGCATCTTTGGCTCGGCCCGGCCCGCAGAAAGAGTCATCATGTGCTGCCCGAGGCGTGTGCTTCCGTGCTTCTGCGGCAAGGTCCAAAGTGTCAATCAACTATAGCTTCAGACATATGAGGACAGCCTCGTGAGTCCCAGGTCCTATGTCATACTTCCCTGCGTCTCAGGCGAAGAGATAGTCTAGAAGGCCAACCTGTCAGGTGAGAGCCAAATACGACACCAGGAAAATCCGAGCGAAGCGATCTGACCTCCTCAACTGGCTCCGGCTGTCGGAAACATGGGGGAGCTGGCCGAGTCCCGGCAGTAGCAAGGCCGGCGACACCCTCCTCAGCATGCTGTCTTGCATGTGCGCGAAAGTGCAAAGTCCTTTTCAGGTCATGTGAACAGGGACTGTTCTTCAGCATCCACAGAAGTAATAATACCTGAGAAAACACTGACCAATAGTCTTCGAGAGCGCCGTATACACTCCACAAAATCGTTATTTCTCGACCCTACTTCACACGTCAACCCACCGACGCACAAAACGACAAGCTGTAAAGGCCAGGATGCGCACTTGTAGTAAGACCTGCCCCATGGCCGGAGGCCGGGGTTCACCGTCACGACATTCCTCACTTGCACCAGGGTGGCCATGTGAACAATCCCAAGCACGCTTGCCGACACAGTACAGTACCGGTCAAAAAAACGATATGTATACATGTATATATATATATATACATATACATATATACATATGTATATACAGTTCAGTTCCCGGCCCCAGCTCGAAACCGCTCGCACGGAAAAGCACGAGCCAAGCTTCAATGCATGGGTTAGGCCTATGCATAGCACGAAGGGTGCATTGCTGTTCGAAACAGGGTGGCTAAAACTTCTAGCCTGCACACTGCACGCCGTACGGTACAGTCAGGCAGCTCGAAGTGAATGTTCTGCATCGGTCGGTCCGGATTGCCATAGACGAGGCCAGGACTCTGCTTAGGATTCAATACCTGGGCTGAGGAGGAATGAAGTGAGACATCGTGGTTCTGCACAACCTCCGGGACCATGAAGGGAAAGGTCATGAGATTCCTCAATTACGCACGAGGTTGTGCAGTCAAGATGCCCGAATGTTTCGAAGAGTTATGTTTGCCCACAGCATTGATGCGCCCGGAGGTGAACAGTCGGCCTCTCCGTCTGGAGCAAAGCACAACCGAGCCAGGGTTTGATCAACAAGACCTACCCTACACTTTGGCTGCTTGCACATGGCCCAGCCGAACCTGAGAGAGCATGGTAACTCTGCAATAGGCCCGCGATATCACAGAGCTTGGCTGTCAGGCAAGGCGAAACCGCTACGACGCTTGTTTCAGCATCACCAACAACATTTGGAAGAACCCATTCATCTCTACCACAAGCTGCAAAGGGAGGCCTAGCCAGCCGTTGCCCCAACCCTAAATCCCTTGACCCTAAACCGCAACAGCCCTTAATGCTACTTCAAGTCTAGCCCAACAGCCTTAAACCCGAAACATAAACATTTTGGTGTGAAAGGCTGAGAGCCCAGCGAAGGGCACCTCTGGCCAAAGCAAGGAACACGCCTCGGGGCTCAGGCACGAAGTCAGCCCACAAATCAAAGAAACGTTTTCCGGCATTATAGTATCCAGCATCAGTATTTGTGCTTTATACTAATACCGTACCACGCTATGGTATGGGAATTCAACTACTAAGGGCGTCTTTACAGGATTCTCGAGGGTTCTAGAATGGGGTCCGCTTTGAAGGGTGCCACAGGGCTTTTTCTAGGGTTGCTTTCAAGGGCGTCCTCAGGTCCGGTTCCAGCTTGCTGTTCTTGACTTGTGGCTCTCCACAACTTTATGCTTCTCTACTTCTTGGCATTCTGATCCTCAGTTTTGCTTCACTGTTGCCCTCAAGAGGCTTCGGCCCTGAGAAAAAGATTTGTGCTGCCAGCACATCGATGCCAATGTGGCCCTTGTTTGGGTGTTCACACGTATGTAGGTAAAATCTTTCCCCCAATCAACAGAACGAGCGTGGCCTTCTTGCTTGCAGCAGAAGCTCCTAAAACACCGCAGAACTGATTGCATATCAAGATGCCTTGTAGGAGTCCGCCTCCTGTGCCGGGCCTATCCATATCGGAACCTCTGGTTCAGCTATCCGGAAGATGAGCTATGCCGCACAGACAGAGCAATTCGCATGTGAATGCTTCCCCACCTGGCTTGGTCGATCCATGACTATGTCTTCCTTAGCTCACTTATCAGGTTTAGGCATCGATGCGCCGGCACCATCCAAGAAGCAAGCTGTAGTTTCGAAACTTATCATCTTCAGCCGCCCCGTAGCAGAGTCCAAGTCGCATAGAGCACGTTTGAAATCTCACCGCTGACCTAAGGAGACTATGACCATGGAAGCGGTGACGAAGCGATCACTCAGTCAAGTTACGTTGTCTCAGCATTCTGGCCTCGGTTCCCTGCGTAATTACTCAACGCAACAAATTAAGCCAAGAGGCTCCCTCAAACGGGGAATTCTGCGACTTCAAGTAGATTCCTTCAACAGTCGCAAGCATCTACAAAAAACGTGGTTGGCATAGCTGGGACTTGGCTTAGAATGGTGTCCTTTGAATGTGTGTAGCATGTACGCATCCCGAAACGTCACATTCCGGACACAGTTGTGCCCAGAAGTCGGCCGCACCTTGGAGGCTCAGTCACGACGTATTTCTCTGACATCTTTGCCGGCAGTATACGTGTTATGGTGGTGATAAAGCTTCGTTGCAATTCGATCCGGCTAATCATACTCCAATTATATGGTCTCTATGAAGATGCGAGACTGCAGCTGACTGCAGACGAGACACGGCACCGATAGTGAGACCCAGTCCACTGGCGTTGACGTGCTCCACAAGGACCTGAAAGCGATACTGGGAAACAAGATGTCACAGGATCTTAGGCACATTGCAGGCTTGATCGACGAAAAAAGCTGGCTGAGACAGAATGCTATCAAGAGGCATTTTCTGTGCAATTTGCATTGATGCCCGTCCGGTCCCGTGGCTGAACGGTGAAACAATCATCTTGATTCCAAACGCTGCAGTGGTGGATGTGAATGTCGCGGCCAGCAACATCAAAACCTCAGATTGTCCAGGAGGATGACGTTTCAACCCGCGACGAAAGCATTCGCCCTTCTTGAAACCTGCGTCTAAAGTCGGCCAGCATGAGGCGCTCTGCCTTTAGAAAGCGGCCTACAAGTCAGAAGACTGAAGTAATGATTGGAAATGTGGTTGGGCTTGGAAATGAATCGTGCCGTTCCTCCCTCCAAAGCTGCCCCGCCTACTGTTGCCTTAATGCCTGTCTCGAAGCCGTCGGTGTTGAGGGCATCCATATTCCCGAGATCATGATCATCAGACTTGTCCACACGGGCGCTGACGGTGCAATGGCGGATCTGCAAGCAGCATTTAAGCAAGCATCTGGAGCCGCTTGGGCAATATGGGATTTGAGAAGGTGCAGAGTCCGAGCTATGGTCTGCCCCCTGCATGCCAAAAGTGTATTTCGGGAGGCCGGATTCGGGCATGCCTCCATTCTTGCAACGTCCAAGGCTGTAAAGGTCCAATACGCAGAATCCACGAAGTTCCTTAAGGCAGGCTGAAGGTAAGCGTCGAATTATGAGAATAAACAGCGTTTGATCTGCAGGCTTCCGTATGCTCGCATGCCGTTTGCAGCAAACGAGCTGCCGCACATTGCGTTCTAGGCTCCACTTCTCGACGAGGATGTCTGTGCCGTTGTAGATGCTCAACAGGCGCGGACGGTTCTCGCCATGAAAGAAATACTGGAGATACCCTCGAGATGCAGACGGCTTGAGATTTTCAACAACATGCAGAGCTGCAGTCTGTATTGAAGTGCAGCCAAGCTGCCCCACCAAGACTTGCCATGCCCATTCAACGTCCCAGCGGAAGTACCTGATCACAAGTGGATGACGCAAGAATCGCTACTGAACTGCAAGATGTGCTGACGGCCAGGAGGCTGGTCAGTGTCAACTTCGAGACGTTTGCAATGAAGATGGCTTCCTTGACACATCGCCTTCAGCAGAAAAAGAGGTGCGTGGTGGAATGAGCTTGTCTTGTGCAACTACCAGCATGCCAGTAGACTTGGCCAAGATGTTCGTACAGTTGGAAAAAGCAGCTCCTCATGCTTCGCTCTAAAGAGCTCTTGCTGCGAGTGGCTTGGCCCTCGCAGGCTGCAATGGATTCAAGTTGCAGATGTCACCTTCTTGCTCCGGCCAGCCTGCACGGCCTGCACAGACAAAGCTTTTGTCGAAAGCATCCAAAGCGGAACTTTGTGATTGACGAAACCAGGCTAGGGCTAGAGATGTCTTCAGCTTCAAGCCTTCACGGCCTAAACAGCTACGTGCTGCTGTTTCTCGTGCTTCCTTAGACCCCAACTCGTCAGTATCTTCCTTCGTGCTACTCACGGTAGCAGCTACTTGCCATCCGCACCATTACGGATCCTGTGACTTTGCACGCCGGCTTCGGTTTCGCCGTCACACCTGCTGAACCTTTGCAATTCCGCTGGGAATCGTGGCCGGTATAGGACATTTGAGATCTTGAGCATGTGAGCCACAAGCTTCATAGCGGGCCCTGCGTAGATTTGAATTGAAGGTGCAGGCGACCAAGAGATTTAGCACCCCGGTGGGCTCCCGCTAGCGGTTCGAATCAGTGAAGAGGAGGCACCTCTAGTCGGTGCCCGGCTAATGGAACACGCTTCCTGACCTCTCAGCTCTGCGACAGTACTACTCGCGACATCTACCCCAAACTGCTACAGTTTTTTGTGCCAGCGCTCTAGGGCAACTACGGAAGCGCCGACATTACCGCCTAGAGTACCGTCAAGCCTGGCAGGAACTCCAGCGTCCCGTCCAGGTGCAGAGTCACATTGTGAGCGTTTTGTAGTAGAACACCGCCGGCCAGCCAGAATGTCTTGTTCGGGACGAAGAGTGTGTCCTCAGGCAGCTGAGGCCGTCACTAGCCTAGGAACCTGCTGGACACTTCGATGCCGGCTTTCAAGGCCCAAGACACCCCTGCGTGGAGCGAAGCCAGCATGGCGTTCAGAAGCTCCGTATTTTGTGCGGCAGCGCTGGAACTGCCAGGAGTTGCCCCGGATTCCTCATAGTCTAGCCACCTGCCACGCATGCATGGGTGTACTCATCCTCTAAACCGTTACGTACGTTCTGCCGTCGGTGAAACTTGGGAGAGGCCGAGCTGCCTTGCCGTAGCAAGGCAAAGACAACAGGGCAGCACCCAGCGTCTCATGGCGACACGGGGCTGAGGCTGGGTCCGCCTTCCAAAACTTCAGTTGTCAACGTCAAACCAAAGTGGCTGACAGATCCGTGTGCTCGCCAGTGAAGCGAAAACCGATGGCAGTTGCTTGGGAAATTGCTGCAGCAGTTCAATCTTGGATGCACTTGCCGGAACGTGCAGCTGCAATGCAACTCGCCAAGCAGGGCTGAACCTTACCTGCAGCACTTAGGGGCCTGCACAGCCAGACTTCTAGCCGCATGGGCTAGCAGAATTGATAAGCCGAGATGAACTCACAAGGCATGGTGTGCCCAGCAACTCAGTTGGTCATATGGTAGAGCTCTGAGTACATTCGCCCTAGACAGCCCTTTCTAGTTCTAGCCGATGCTGAGGCCGGAAACTGGGGTTAAGTGCCAATGTTGGTGAGCGCACTACTGCTAGTAATGGGCCTGAAGCTACCGAATGGCCCTTTCCCAGAAAGCCATGGTCGTGCGTACATCCACACCCCAGTATCATTGCACGGGCAGCCAAGCGCAAGACGCCGCTCTGCCCCTTGAGGCGCCTCAGCATGTTGGAAGTCTTTGACCCAGGCTTCAATCTGCAAAGCTCGAGCCGGAGGGATGTGCATGTTGTCTGTGGAATGCCCTGGACAAGCCCGAAGGGACAACGATCTAGTCCGAGGCTACGCAGCTTCTTTAGCCAACGCCATGAAAACAATCATCCTGCCTAGCACGACAGGGCCCAGGCCGCTCAATCTCTCCAGCAAGCTGGGCAATAGGTGCCGTGTAGCCCTCGGATGCTTCGTCGCTGCTGGATACCGTTCTGTGTCTCGCCCTGCCTCACTTAATTCTTTAAGACTACCGGTTCACAGCATACTGAGAAACTGCCAACTTAGCAGCTTGCCAAGCTGTTTGCAAGGATGTCTATAGCTGGCGGCGGGTCCAACTGGGAGCCTCGAACTTGTCGTTGTGCTTTGCTGCTTGAGCAGCAGACTGTTAAAACTCTGCCAGGAACAACTACCCTTCATTCATGAGGCTTCCATACTACTTGTAGTTCTTCTAGTTCCTTGGCGATTACCACTCTCGCCAAATACGATCATGGCTACTAGGGGGTTTCGCTGCAATAATTGGTTCTACTGCTGTAGTTTTGAGCCTGAGTATTACTATACTGTTGACTATTACTCGTAGCAGTCGTGGGATTACTGCGGTTGCCATACTTGTTGTCGGTGTTATCTTGATTGCTTTGAGTATCCTTCCGGTGAATCAAGAACCCTGGGCCGCCGGCAGCGATAGCAGGTACATCTTCACCCTCTGCTTCGCTGCCCAGGAGCTCCTCGCTCAAGCTTTTGAACGGCAAAGGCAGCAGGGCGAAGGGGTGTTTGTTCGTGCTTGATGGGATCTTTGTCCTCCCAGATTTGCAGTAGCTGAATCACCGTATCAGTACCTGACGTACTTCTTAAGCCGCAATCGCTGGTGCGCATCCCGTCCAGCAGAAGCAGTGCCAGAGTCAGCTTCTCGTGGCAGGCGGCCTCCCAGCCACCAGCCTGTCTCTGCCACTTCCGCGGTAGTTTGGAGTGAGTGCCAGGAGTGAGCACGAAGGGTTGGTTTACCAGTTCGACGGCAGCTGGTAGGAGACAAGGATGTTCTTAGGGGGTCTTAACAACACATCTTGGCAGCGTTGGGGCAATCTTCTGCAATGTTTCATGCGAGGTGACGGCTCTTTGTCTGCGAATGTAGGTGACGAGTGGATCTCCAAGGCGAACCTCCGCAGTGCCGAACCACACAACTGCGTGGGAGGTTTGCCAACATAGCCAACAATCGCTTCGAATCGGTCTTTCGCGGGCTGTCGCTTTGTTCGTTGGCTCAATCCGGGCCACTGCACCCTAGGATGCTCCCGTCTTATCCGGGGCCCATGTTGGCACATGCATTCTGAATTACTTGGCAATCTTTGTGCCGGCGATTGGCCAACTGTAAGCCAGTGTTCAAAGCGACTGAGAACACAGCATGAGTAAAATCCCTGGCAGCAAAAGCAAAACTATGTTCAGCCTGGTTATGCCTGGTTCACTACCGTCCGTCTGCCATATGTGATAAGCACCAGGGCTCCTCGCTCTCAAGCTTCGGTCGTGAGCCGTGTGAAAAATTAACCGCATGCCATGCACTGTTCGTCCACAGTATTGCGACGGATCGGCCAATGTTGATTGAGCTCATCGGCATTGCATGAGAAGCTCTATATACATATATACACATGTGTGTGTATGTGTGTATGCTGGTGCATGATGACTCCACAGCATCCCATAAGGGTAGAACTCGGTCTTCAACCACAACCCGTTGAGCAGAAGCATCTATACACCATCATCGCTCACACAAGCGCTGCCGATGAGCTTGGCATAAGTGATCTGTACAAGTTACAGGGGCCAATCAGATCTCATAGCTCCTGATTAATGTCACCATTGGGGCCTCAAGAAGCGCAAGAAGCTTTTGCACGTGGCAGAGCAAGGCTTCTTGGCTCTGCTAGGGGGAAGCCTCCAGAGTACCACCTCGAACATGTCTGCCGCCAGTCGCGCTTGCTTGAATCTCCGCATCGAGCCCAGAGTTCACAGGCAGTGTGGGTCAACCTAGAAGCGTGATTGTAAAGCCATCGCATCACAGCGCAGAGTCTTTAGTCTGAGGCTGAGGCCTATGACATTGAGCAGCAGATTCAAGGCACTGAATCCATTGAATCATCCCCCGCTGCTTGTCAACACCTTGCCGGTTTTGCCCGAAGCCGAGAACACCTCGCCAGAACCTCTGAGCGCAGTGCGGGGGACGACATCGTTTGCCGGCTGGACGATCGCAAAGGTCGATTGGAGGTCTGCCCTGAAGTGGAGCTGGGACTCAATTCCAGCAGCCAATTGCATCCAACGCGGTCACTTTCGGTCACACGGCAACCACTCAGCCGAGGCACAGTGTCAGGTCGAACTTTTGGACCTCTGCAGGAGAACGCGTTAGGAAGTAAGTTTCTGAAAGGTATGCGGAGTGGCCTGGTAGTACAACCCGGGCGGTGAGAAGCCAATGCCGTCAACTCCATGAGCAGCCGAAGCTGCACCAACCAACGCACCTGACAGAGCTTCCCACCAGCTTCAAGTGACACACAAAAGGGCATCTCCGTCAGTCAAAAAGCCCATCAACACTGAATCAACACATACGGACTCCTCACAAAAACCGAAGCTCACCCGACAATTGCTTTTAACTCCTGTGCCTCCGAGGCTGTGCCCAGTCAACAGCAACTTCTGCCCTGCAGCTCTTGATTCGGCCTCGTGCCTGGCAGAGGAAGCCGGATCGGAGAGGGCGAGAGGACTCTCAGCTTTGCTGGGGCTTCGACTCTCTGCCGAAAGAGTCATTTAGAAATGGAACCATAATTTTCTGTGTTTAGATTTGATTTAGGCAAGTGGAGACAACGCGACCAGTGGCCCCTCTGCCGACTGCTTTCACCGGCCGTCTAAGCGGAGTGGCTTTGCATCCCCCGTGCCGACCTCTCCTACAAAGTATACAGGCCCTGCCACGCAGCCCCCGACATCCTCGAGCTCGTACGATCAGGGCGTGAATTCTCGTGATTCATACGACGGAACCTCTCGACCATGCGACATTGTCTGACCGTGCCTCTTCACCGCTTTGTTGAGTGCCAACGCCACGTGATGGTGTCGGAAGATTGCACGGCTTAGTCGACCGCTCATCATCCTGGGAACTCGGAGGACACCTAGCTCGATTCCCTACCGTTCAAGAGCACCTTCTTGTGAGTACATGATAGTACATGCATGCTGAAGCCATCACTGTCAACGGGCAGTTGGGAATCCTTTTTTCTGATCTCAGCTTCAGCTACGTTTCCCTTGCACCACTTCTCAGCCTACGCCGTCTTCTCAACATGTCCCAATCCAGCTATCTGCTCTCGGCTGAATCAATGCCACTTGGTCTGTGCAGCTGTGGAGCGTTTGCGTTACACCCGTCGGCATGAGAGCCAGGACAGGCCTGCAAGAAAGCATTCAATACGAAACGATGTCAGCAGGATTGCACGGAGTGCAAACTACTACTCGGTGCAAGCTCCTTCAGTAAGCAATGAACATCATTTTCATTCACAACTTGAATCACTTCATGCACAATTCCATGCCGCTCTATGACGATAGCAGTCTATCTATCAGATACGATGAGCCCATGTTCGAAGGCTGTAATGGCTTCCAGGTCGCGTAAAGACGCTTGTCATCTGGAGCACCTTGCACCCAGTCGTTTCATGCCATAGGTTCTCCAACACATGGCCATCTGAGGATGCGACGGCTACTCCGGAGTAGACTTTCAGGTCAGCATACCTCTGCACGAGAGAATCTGTGCCGTTGCCAAAGTGCTTTGAAAGCCCATTTGAGGCTCCTTGCGTGGCAACTCCTAAAGAAATAGACGTCACTGTGGAGACATGCCAGGCAAGCCTTGGTCTGCATTCGTGTTCTGTTGCGGTCGCTATTGACTACTTGCGTTGACTCTTCCGAAATTGACTCAAGCAAAAATGCATTCGACGGTTCGTCAAGCAGAGCTAACAGTCCGTGTTCAAAATCATCTTTTCTTGTCTGTGCTGGCAGAGCTACGCATCTTGGACGTTCGACGTCCCCCTGACTGAGATAACACGCAGCTTCAGGGACGGGAAAGACACCACGATCCAGCGTCCAACCGTCCTGGTAAGAAATGATAGGCACGTGCACAAACACATACACCTCTACAAGCATGCACAAGCAAACTGGCATACGAGACATGATTGCTGGTCCTTGGGCTCTCCACCTGCTCAGGGCTGAACTGCAGCTGTCTTATTCGCGGCCTATCCTTGACACCGTGACCTCTGCATCCTACACCCGCAAACCTACAAACCCTACAATTTCTCAAGTAGTACAGTATATCAGTACAGTATATCAGTTTATGCTTCTTCATGAAAGGAACCAGTCCAAGTCGCTTCCAGGAGTTCCCAGTCGCTCAAGTGCGTCCCATTCAGCATCTCCCCCAAGCCTCGCCTCAAAGCTGGAATTTCCCGGAATTTCTCTGCATTTTGGTGGCGTAAATCACAGAACTCCGACATCTGACCGGTGCAGGCACAAGACCCGGGCCTCACGTCTGCCTCATCAAAGAAAGAACTGGCAAAGGCCAGAACGGAAAGGTCTAAGATATCCAGGCCACGCTCCTCAGGAGGATCCTTAGTAAGTACTTCATAACACGAAACTGCAGCACGGAGCACTTCGCCCCAAACCCTAAACCCTGCTCTTTTCGGCACTGAGTGGACCTCCAGACGTCCCAGTCCTGTAATTCTCGACATTTCTCCATTCGAGAGTCGGTTGGAGTGCCCGGGTATCGCCACACGGTGGAGCAAATCGGATAGCCTGCCCATCGTCAGCTTCATCCCGCTATGAAACATGACATGCAAACATCTTGGGTTCTGCGACAACACGGGGCTCCGGCGCACCTAAGTGCGGAGATCCTGCTGACACCGTAAAATTCTGTGGAAGGTCGTTAAAGGACCCCCCGGTGGCCCCATAGCCGGGTGCCATAGGTCCTGGCAAGGAGCTCGAGCTCTTGAGCCGGGGTCGCCATAGGAAATCTCTGCAAAACCCAGAACATTTAACCGTAAACTCAAAAAGCATCGAGACCCTAAACCCTAAACCTAAGGCTTTGGAGGCCCTTCTTTTCGCATCCCGAAACCCTAAACCAAACCCAAAACTCTAGAGGCCCTAAACCCTAAACCCCAAGTCATGCAACAGCCAGGGCGTCCTAGCACAAGTGGCTCCAAGAGCTTCCCTGCCCTGCGACCCACGCTGGCGCTTGCCAGGGTGCCCATGAGGAGGCCAACCTGGCGCAACGTGAATCCGTAAACCTCTCACTTTTAAGAAGAACCCCCCAAAATCCTAGACCACGCGGACACTTCGTGCAACTTGGCGGCAGTCAGAAGGATGAAGAACCTGCATGCAATTATAGCAAAGGGGCAAAACAAAGTTGTGATTGTTTGAGACTGCTGAATCAACACGCGCATCATTGCCTGTAGTTTACTGCAACGAAACTGACGTACGTACCGGTATATTCTTCATGGTCGAAATCGTAGCCTTGTTGGTGTTGAGCTGCAGCCAAGCTACACAAAAGTGATCCAAAATGCCTTGCCCAACAAGCGGGGTGCATACTGCCGTACGGAGAGGGCCCAGAAGATGGTCGCCAGCAGCCTCAATATGGCTCAATATCTTCGAACCTCTACGTTAATCCACATGACAGTTTGCGGTGGCAGTGTTGTTCTTCACCGTCATGCTGCTACTGTCATATGTCGTAGATGTGGCGATTAGTTCAAGATCCGACTGGCAGACCGCAGAGATGACACTGAGATGACTTTCAGCAAACTGCAAGCAACAAGGTCGCCCCCCCTGCGCGCCGTGTGGGTATTGCCTTTCCCAAAGCACAAAAATGCTGCGAAGGAACTGCCCGATAAACACCTCAGCTGATGACGCCATCAGCAGGAGAAACATGGAGCTGGTTGAGCCGTCTGCCACTAAGCATCGATTTATCAATCTGTTTGCTTATTCAGCCTGCTGTTGGCGCATCTATCTATACATAGTGACATCGTTACATCTAAGCTTCCAAACAGACGCTGGCGAACAGTCACTGCTTGCTGGCGAACTCGATGACAAGCCTATCAACCCTTTTGCTTGTCACCAACTGTTGTGTTACAGTCGAGTGCTTTGTTGTAGCCCATGCAGCAACGAAAACATGTTTCCTGGGAAGAATCTTGTCAGCCACACTTGTCCTGCATTCACGGCTTCATGATTCCACTTGAGTTTCTTGGCCATGCCGCGCAAAAGGTTTGCAGGGGTTGAGGCGCCGTTACGGCGCACGATTGGTGGTCTTGGCTCGCCAGGAAACCTGAAGAGGTCTACCGTCGTTTTCCATTTCAAGTCGCGCAGTGCAACATTTTGGCAAAACACCACTCCTCTGAGGGAGGTTGCCCCGTGTTTGGGCTTCTTCCCACTACTCGGAGGGCGTGCTGGTTTGAAACCAGCTTTGAAGTGTACCGCTACGCAGGCCGGCATTCGGGCAAGACAGCTTGCCATTTTCGCGATAGCTTCGCTCAGAGCAGCTTCCCTTGGAGGTCACCCTTCAGGGTACTAAGGCACGCAAACACCGTCACCTGGCCTCCGCTTAGGGTAGTGCGCGCAGTCGAGTGCCTAAAGCGGAATACAAGCTAGTGCGCAGATGCTTCTGCAGATGCCAAGTCTTTACGTTTCGAACCTGTACCCGCAGTGCAGGTGACGGGCCGACCAATGGTCGCCTTGTTCGGAAGCATTCACGCCCTCCTGGTTTATCTTGGCCTTTTGTGCGTCATCGCATCGTGGTTGCTTCGTCGTTGCGTTGTGTTGTTGCGGCTGACTCTTCACGCTCTCGCAACTCTGCGCAGAGACCTCGTCAGGCGGCTAACTCTTTAAGTTTTCAAGCTGGAGGTGTCGCCAATTTGTTGGGACCTTCGTGCGTGTTCGGCCAGACACATGCCCTGTCGATGCCCGCTCGCTCACTCACTCACTCATCTTGACAAAGCTTGCAGCAGCTGCTGTGCGACGCGTGCAAAGGCTTCTTAAGCTGGCCCAGGTGCAGTGAAAAAGTCATGCAAGATGATGAAGAGGATTACTACCTCAGGTGCTGCACCCATGTACCAACGACATCCAAAGACCGCTGTGTGCTGCGGAAGAGCCCCGCGAAGCAAGCGTTCCAGACGAAGAGATGAGCAACTGTTCAGGAAAGGTGCAAGGACTTCCAGGAACAAGCCGATCAAGAAGTACAGCACTGATCCTCAGCTCAGATGAACACAGCACGACCTGGAAGCTATGCAATGCTCCCAACACAAACTTGAAAGTGTGAAATGCCGTGCTCAAAGGACATCTGAGACACATGGCCACTTAGCTAGGGCAGCTATGGAACTTCGCATGGCTCCGAGGCTTTCACCGGTCTGCTAGCACGGTCCCAGACTTTCACTTACAAGTGCCTATTTCGATTCAGGGCCTTGAAACTAATGCAGCATCGACTCTTCCCCAGTGAGGCCGTGCATCGACCAGAGGCTTCTCTGGTCTCTTGTTCACGCGCTTGAACCTTCCAAGAGGACCTGAGGCCAGCAGTTAGGATGGTCCTCTGCGAGCCCTCCCCGAAACTTCTTCCTGCCGGGTGGCCCATATTGTGATATGTGATCGCCATCATTTCGTCCCTTTCGGGATTGTGGCCAACGTAGATGTGACAGAGGATGTACGTAATGCAAACCCTTAGCGACGTCAGACGAGTACTTGCATGATCAGCGCCAGCAGAGCCCTGCAACATGCGAAGTACCGCCGGTTACATTCAACTCTCGAATGCAAGTCTGCAGGGATGAGACCGGGACAGCATAGCGAAAACAAGGCCACCAAGACAATAGCCACGAGCAAAGTCCTGTCAGCATCTGGCAGGCGCGAGTGCTACACTGCATAACTGCTCGAAGCTCTGTTGCAGCCTTGTACCAGTACGCCTTTATGTCCGCGAAGACTACAGTGACTATGGCGAAGATGATGGGTAACCTGACATGCGTGCATCCGAGCTACCCGAGTTCCTTTCGGTTGCATACGATCAGAGTCGCTCAAGGAGAGCGCAGCTCCCTCAATGGTGAATGGCCAAGCCGAGCAACGACTCCAGGGCAACGATCAACGTTCGCTCCTGGCAGCCGAAGCAGCCGTATGTTTGCGTTGCGACAAATATGCGAAACGAATCACGAAAAGGCATTAAGCATGAACCTGACACCAGCAGTTCTGGCTAGAGTCCAAGTCGACGCAGCAACTTGTGAAATACTGTGAGTCTCTACTTCATTCTCGATATCTCCAGCTCTTCAAAGCTACTCTCTCTGATGGCCGAGGTGCAATGTGGTCGGTTTGGACCCTCTCAGAGATCGCCTTCAAGCCAACAGTAACCGTTGCCCTGGCAGGTGCAGCAGCAAGGACTAAAGGCTGCGGGAACAACACCAAGAGCCTTTCTTGAGGGGATGTCTAGTCTAGCCCTTCGGGGTGTACTTTTTCACTGTCACCGCCCCCGTGGTTCATGCCATGATATCTGTCCAGCTGTGTAGGTGCCGCGTTGCCTGAACAATCCGAAAGACGGCCGATCGGCCGCATCCAGCCTCAGCTGAAACCGGGAGCGCCAGACATTTAGCGAGTGTTTGGGGTGAGCCTTGCTTCTGTAAGCAGAGCACTTTGACTCCGTTTTTAATTAACCCTTACTTTGGCAAGAGATCGAAGTACGGAGCGCCAGACATTGAGAGACTGCGAAGCTGCTCCTCAGAATGTGATTACCAGCAGACGCAAGAAGAAGCTTTTTGAAATTCATCATCGCGCGCGGGCACTCTTGAATTGACGGGCCACCCTATGGGTGGGAGTCAATCATCGCCTTGACCGCACTTGCCACCCGAACAATGTCTAACTGCAGCAGTGGTGTCTGTCCAGGATGATAACACATGGCTCATGGCTCTCTTGGGCAGCAGTCCAGAGTTCAGCACCAATCTTCACGAAGGTCTTAGCAACTATTGAATAACTATTGGCCCGAGCAGCCCCATGTCAATACACTCGTCCACGTAGATCGCACTGACCAGCAAAAATGCAGGAACGAACCTTGTCATCACGGCAGTCGCCCCGCTATATGCCCTTGGCAAAGAGTACGGGGTGCTTTCTGTTGCAGCCATGTCTCACACACGCGAACACCACCTCGTTCCAGGGATGGATTTCCGAAGCTCCGACTTCAAAACTGCAGCCGAGAGTCTCCGGCTGACAGCCCCTGAGGTAGAGGTGAGAAAAACAAGTGTCGGGTGCGAAATCTCAGGTTCACAAGATGGCTAGTGCAAAGCTGGAACGCCCTGCTGTGCCTGCGATGGGGGTGTTGCCAGCAAGGCGAAGAAACATTCAGTTGTGGAGCCCAGGGCGACTGCCAGCACAATGGCAAGGGAGAAGAACCTCAAGCTGAAGGAGGTTCCTCCAACTCGGAGATCGACACGTCAACCTCTCTTCTGCGAATCAGGCACACAAAGAATATACATCTCAGCCGCACGGTGGTCTCGTACCAGTACCTCGAGGCCAACTTCAGGATTGACATACGTGGGCCTGTGAGTTCTTTGAGTTGCACTGGTCACGCGCCTGCAGAGTCAACAACTCAAGGCAGCAATCAACTTCGGGCAACGCACACTCTACTATAAGTGCAGCTGGGGGGCTTGTGCATGCCTGCACTACAGGCTATGAGTTCAAGCATCGGTAGCTGACGCATGGTGCACCAAGGTGGGCGATGAGTGCCAACATCAGAGATTCAAGCTCGTGACACTTGCCGTGGCAACCTCGAAAACTTGATTCGCCGGCCGTAGATGCAAACAAGACGCTGTCGTCAGGATGCAGTTGACTAGTACTGCCATCACGAGTCACCTCTCGAAGGGCAATGGGGTCAATCGCGACATGCGAACAATTCACAACAGGCGTCAGACTCCAACAATATAGAATGCATACGATATAATACAGATATATAGTTTAATATACAGTATAATACATTTGAATATGTGTATGGAAAACAGGAAATTGGGGGGTATGGTAACATAATACATCTGTGAAGACAGCTGCTCAGGAGCCTTCGGTGTAGACTCGCTGTCGTCCTCGCTGTCTTCGACGTCATCGCTGGTTCCGTTCTCCCCGCCTCGGGTACATGCGCCTATGTCTCGGTGGTGAGCCCCGTCGACAGAGCTACGTGGATGAGTATGGTTAGCCCATGAGAGGGCTGGTGCTTATCCGTGAATGTCAAGTGCAGCCTGTCCAGGATGCGCTGTGGAGCTTCGAAACTTTGTAAAGAATTGGTCTCCAGTTCGGCCAACGCACCCTGCGACTCCAGGTCTTCTGCATGGTAGCCTCAAGAGCTAGAAGAAGCCAGCGTCTTCAGTTTGGGACAGGATTGGCGCCGTCACCGCGCTTCGTTCTTTGGGCTTTGCGGAGAACATGATTTAGAACCGAAATTGGCGTCGCCTCTTTGCTGCGGCGACGTAGTGCCAGCCTCCATTACCTCAGATGTCCAGCTCTTCTGCTGGTTGACATGACAACGCTTCGCCCAAACAAAGGCTTGCCTGTGCCGGGGAGATTCCCAAGCAGGATTGCGGAAGCAAGAGACCCCTATGCCCTCCTGGTTCTCTGTGATAATTAACAGCTGCAAGCAGAAGCGGGGAGTATTTCAGAATCAACAGTCACGAACCTACGAATCTTCCACGTGGCCACAGCCTGCCTCGTGGCCCTTAGAAAGGACGACCTTGGTTGTTGAATCCACTGAGTCTGAGGTTTTGGGAAATCGCTCGGAGGAGCTGGCCGCAGCATCTTTTGCGTGCTGCACTGCGGACCTGTCCGTGTCTGGACCAATTGGTGCTTTCAACTCTCCTGGCCTTCGGCCGCATACGCACAAACACTAGCTGAGATGGTGGCTCGAAAATTGCACGGTTCGGTTGCGATGCGGACCTCGTGAAAAAATCTCTCCGCTTGGTTGGCTTGGTTTGTGGCTCCGGCATGGCAGCCCCGAGGGTCTACATGGCAGGTATTCCGAAACTGATGGCTTCGGGCCCTTCTCCGTTCGCTTGGTTCGAGCACTGGGCACAACTCGGCTCTGGACTCTGTGGAGATAGCCGCTCTTAGTTGTTTCTCGACCTGTGCAAGGATGAAGCATTGCAGGGAACCACCGGCCCAAAAATGTATTTCGCCTCCTCAGCAAAAGCCAATGTCCGCGAGAAGTCACTACGCCTGGCGCAGCAAACATCATATTCGACGGATGCCACACAAAAAGAGGGCCGAGCACGAGAGCCCAAATGCAAGGTGTAAATCTGGTCTCATGGCCATCGACCCTTCTCCCTGTTCAGCAAGAAGAACTACAGCAGCAGAATGAGCTTCCGGCAGTGGTGCGCCCATCTGCTCATCATCCAAAGACACTTTAAGAGCCTCGGTAGGTTTCGCAGCCAGAGCAGTGGGGGAACCAAAAAGAGACCAAGGTTGACACCTTTTCGAGGAGTGCCAGAGCCTCGGTCACTCTGAAAGCACACGCAAGGGATCTATTAGATCTTGTTCATTATATTATTTACTATGTATATAGCTATATTAGATATCATGTACTCCCCATATTATGGGTGGTTGTCAAAATTATGGCCCATTTTTTGGGTACCCTAAATATTATAGGTGCCGTACTACAATAAGGGCCCAATAGGGGAACATAATTTTGACAACTACCCTATATATGTTCGAAATTTTACATTGCAATAGCTGGGCTCTCGCAACTCGGAACACCAAGCGAGGCATTTCGGTCTTGGCACAAGATCATCATGTGCAGCTCGGATTTTTGACACTCACTCTCGGACTAGCCTGGCATGGTCTGCAGAAGCTCGGATTTAGGGGTCTACCTTGACCTTCCAGCGCCTGCATAAAGTCTATACGAGGGTGTATGTTAGACTCTTGGCCCAAGTTGAACCCTACATTAACCTACCAAAAGCCTACTTTTCGCAGGTCTTACTGCTTTAAACCCTAACATGAAATCTAGAGGGTCCCTGCAACAGAAGCAGGTTCTGGTGGTCTAAGGCATGCAGACTCTCAAGATCGACTCCGAGGTTGCCGCACGCAGGAGGAGCGACAGCGCTTCCACAGGTGCATGTTCTGCGAGCCTGCCAGGGTTCTTCGGAGCCTTGAGAAGTCTGTACAGTTGGACTCTGGCCCCATCCTAGAATCCTAGCAGCTTCTACCTGACATTGACATGTCTGTTCGGTCACCAGCACACAATCCTCAGGTCACCCATGCCGGTGGCTGGCCGCAATTTCAGCTTTTTCGTCGCACGTAGTCAGATTCAAAGTGGGACCTTCTGTCCTGTGCAGTCTGGGCAGTCGGCTGATATTCAGTTTACAGTGCAAAGCACAAAATCCACCATGACCTGGTGCCTGTCTGTCTGGAAGTGGGCGCAAGCAGCATGTTCGGCTGCTCACGAGCCTGGGGGCCTAGAAGCCTGCATGCATCCGGCCCTTTCTCCAAACTTATGTAATAGTTTTTAACTTGTACCTTCCAAATCAAGTCTTGCTGGACCAAACTTGTGAGCCACTCGGCCCTGCAGCATGCAGAGGATTGAGCCTTTGTGGCCGTAAACATGCCGCCCCTTCGACAAGCGGCTCTGATGCCACTCAGCTTCCAGACCTGCCTCAGATTCACAAAAACCGATGCTTCAAATCTCCGCTCCGACAGGGCAACGCCGACGAAGAGCCTTTCTAGCAGTGCAGACACTGATTGCAGCTTCCAGGCCTTGGACGGTGGCTTAGTACCTGTACTTCGTACAGTAGTCCTGCGCCGGAAATTGTGCGAATAGTGCATTCTGATTCAGGGCGATGTTGAGCTAGACTGTAGCAAGATCAGGTGCTGCGTCCTTTGGTGACATCACCAGACCTCTGCCCTTGCGGGCGCCACGGTAGATAGTCTCCACGATGTCAATGAACTCCTGCCGGGCACGGTCAAGCAGCCGTTGCATTCCTTCGAAGCTTGTTGATTGTAGGGCACATGTGACCTCGTCACCCTGCGGACATAAAAACAAGCAACCCATGCCTGCTTATCATTCATGGCCCAGTTCACTTTGTTGTTGTTACCTGGAGACGACAGCACGGCGAAGCTCCTAATGCAAGCAAATGCGAAAACCACACCTGTTCCCAAGTCGATCATCATGTGCTTGTTTCGGAAGAAGAACATAACTGTGACAGGGTCGTACAGCCTTGGTGGCAGCGGCATCAGCTGCTGAACGGAGGAAGTGTGAATGCAGGCAGGCTCCAACAAATGTGCAAGATGCAAAAACTCCTGGCCAAGGCACTCGTACATGGTGTTGAAATCCGGTACTTCCTTCACATCCACAAGGTAGATGATGGCGAAGCTCTTGATCTTCTCCTCGTCTAGCCCGAATCTTCACACTATCGCTTCAAGGCTCGGCCGGCCCGCTTGCAGGTGAGTTGCAGCTACAGAATACAGGATCTCATCCATCCTCGAAAGAGCCATCGTGCAAGAGTAAAGGAATCGACTTCGTGCCAACTTGCAACGGCCAAGAGTCTTCATGCACTCCGAGTCATAGTCGTGCCCAAAGCGAATGATCACCAGACGTTCCTCTTCACCTGGGCTGCATGGAAGTAGCGGCGATCATCTCGCTTGTCTGGCCACTTGAAAGTTTCAGAAAACAAGGGACCCTAACATAGACCGTACAGGGTCAGATCCTCCTCAGCCCACGTAGTTACTAGCCCCTCAGTGGCCCCTCAATTTGAGAAATCTGCACCACCCCACGAAAACCTGGCAAAAGCAGCCGCCATAGCCCCAGGTAACCGTGCAGTCTTTCGAAACCCACTCTAGAAAGATCCTGAACATAAAGATTCCCAAATATATCGTACCACTGCTCGGGACACGCCTCTGATCTTGCCAAGGCTCTTAGGATGGCCTGGTCCACAGCCCAGCCCGAGTGAAGATGCGGAAGCATGAACGACATGGTGGCAACAGGAAGACCTCCGCCAATGCCCGCGCTCCGGGGTTTATGGCCTTAAGGCTCTAGGGATGTTATGGCTTCAAGAAGTTTAGAGGTTTAGAAACCATGCGGAACCACGGCTCGAGCGGCGCATTGCAACCGAGCAGCGGCGGCGGCAGCACGAAGTGAAAGTAGCAGGGCTTGATCCCACAATGCTCCCGAGACGTCCCACGGGCCAACTGCACTCACCGCCGACTACGAGGGCAAGCCGGACAAAACGAGACCGAACGAAAAGACTGAAAGAGAAAGCGGGATGACCAGTGTCAGGAAGCGGCTGGTTAGGTTGTTGAACACTTGGCAGAGAGAGAGAGAGAGAGAGAGAGGGGGACAGAGAGAGGGAGAGAGAGAGAGGGAGAGTGAGCGAGCGAGAGAAGGAGAGAGAAGGAGAGAGAAGGAGAGAGAGAAGAGGAGAGAGAGAAGAGGAGAGAAGAAGAGAGCAGAAGAGACAGAGAGAGAGAGGGAGAGACACAGAGACACAGAGACACAGACAGACAGATAGAAAGATAAAGAGAGAGAGAGAGAGAGAGAGTGACAAAGACAGAGACAGACGGGCAGACAGAGACAGCAAAACAAAGCGAGGTAGATAGAAATTTAGGGCAAGATACGTAAGTACAATCTCAGCCAATTCTCCCTGTCTTTCCTGTTGGAGCATCGCCAGTCATCTCCAATCGTCCTGCTTCTGCGATCCTTGTGGAAGGCGCGAACAAGCCTTCGAGATCCCCGTGCATCTCCGGATTGAGTGCAAAGCCATCTCAGTAGCCCAAACCGGCCATGCACTCCACAAAGGCGGCGATGCCGTGGAGCCGACCCAGCCGACATTGCAGGAACCAAGGGATTGCTTTGCGCCATCCCGCTGAAAGTTTCGTGGTACAAGTAATTAAGCGCTTGGAACTCATTTCTCCGAGGCATGTGGCTCCAAGAGGAGCCTCCATCAAAGCCTGATTTAACTTTAAGTCCCCAGGGGCTTGAAGTGGGCCCTGCAGCCAGGAATAAACAGCCCAACATGACCATGAGAGACCCGTGCTCTGCAATCCCCGCCCCAACTGAGCTCAGCCTCATGGCAAGCTGCTCCAATGCGCGGGCGATTCGACTCAAGTTGCTGCCTAAGCGGGCCATCTCTCGCTCGCATCAAAGGAGATCACTTCTGAGATGTATGAAAACCCGATATCATATATATATATATATACGGTCATGATAACATCCTGTGCGAGCACACACGCACGCACCGACCCCACGACCTGGGCATCCCAGGACAAAAAGATTGGAGCCGGACAAAAGCCGCTTGCTGCCTCACATGGCATGCCCACGACTTGCTCAACTCAGCAGCTCAGCACAGCAAAACCCTGCTCGCTGCAGAGCTCCACTGCATGAGACCTCTTGTGCAGGGACTCGGAATTCTGCCGAGAAGCAGCCGCTGGTGTAGGGCCTTTTCCACGCGCGAAAGAGGTTGGGGTGTTGGAGGTCACGACCACCTGGCACGGTGCAGCGAAGCGGTGTCGCCATGAGCCAGGGTTTCGCTCCACTGGCGTTGTCTCTTTGAAGTAACCCAGCCCGAGGTCCAGGACCTTCAGGCAAGGTTTAGACCCGAGTTGAGGCGAAATGCCGCTGAGGAAGACGGCGAGACTCGCAGCTGGAGGCTGCTTGAGCTCGGGCTTGCGGCTTTCGTTTTGTGTCCTTCAGTTTGGCCTCTCGGGCATTTCCGTGCCAAGTGCCTTGCATACATACTTTCGCTCTGGAATGCGATGCTTGCAAAGGTGAGTTCGCGGCTAACACGGACTGCAGCTTTGCAACAGGGAATTCAGATGCATAGAAAACTCAGTGACAACTGGTGTTTTTTGCCGATTGTCCTTCTGGCAGCGCCTGGGACAGGTCGGCATAGGTACGACTATTCACCTACGCAACGACGCCGGACCGCTGGACCCACTGCGGATCTGCAGAAAGTCCAGAACACAGGCAGGCGCTGACAGAGTCAGCCGAGTCATGAGAATGTGACAGAGCTAGAACCAGGCGCTTCTGGGAACCCATGTCGAGGTGGCATACTCTTCATCCACGCTTCCATTCCTCAGCACACTCCACATTGGCCATGGGGCTCAAATCTCAGAAGTTTCCACGCTCGTGCCTCCGAATCCGAAAATAGTTCGGAGCTGCTGAAGCCTTCCAATTCTCCACAGGGGATTACTAACCATTTGTGGAAACTGCCGTGTGGATTCCCCGCAGCCTCCTCGCGGGCAGCGTCCTGCAGAGCGAGCAGGAGCTTCTGCGGTTTGTGCATGCACATGTCTCTGCATGAGCTCCTTGGGACGCTCTCGGCATGCTTCCGCAATGACCTGCCGTTATTCAAACAAGTACTCAGGCATGCGGGAAGGCCCGGAAAGCTGCTAAAATCAAAAACAGCTGGGATGCAGAATAAGGTCTTGTCACGCTCTCCCGTGCTATTGTAGTTCTTGCAGCTGTGCCTGGGCCATGAAAGGTGAAACCTGCCGGCGAATGCTGATAGCTGGCTCAACAGTGGAGAGGGTGGTTCATGATGCAATCCACATAACACAGACTTGCAGAAGCCACATCTCTTCGAAAGACACCAAAGAGCTCCTAGGTCGCACCCCTGTGATCCTTCGGCAACGAGTCAGAAGCAAAGTCAGCCGTAGTGCATCTCCTAGTGTAAGTGTACTTGGTGCAGTGCAGAAAAGTGGAAACCTGGAGCGCTCTTACGACGTCCTACTTACCGTGCAGGCTTCCGCCAGCACGTGAGGGGCTTGCGACGGCCTTGCCAGACATTGCCTCTGAGCCAGATTGTCCAGATGTGCCAGGCACTCCCTTGAGCGGGCTTTGAGTCAGCAGTGGCTCGGTGGCTCCCTGCTGAGAAATATCTGAGGAGGCCGCGCGAGTCTCGGAATGAGGTCTTGCCGCCTCAACGAACAAGTAGCACAACCAGAGCCCAGTCGCTGCAGTTGTCACTAACCTTTCCAAAACGCCTCCGACGCAGAGAGCTCTTCGACCTTCTGCCCAAGGCAGAAGAAAGAATCGCACCAAAAAGGCAGAGTACGCCCGTGCCTTCTTGACGGGATCGCTGCTTTCGCCAGGCGTCGCATCTCGGAACAGAACGCTGCCAAGAGGCGTTTTCCCATGAGCCCAGGGCTGAGCCCGTGGCCGGGGCCACTGGCGCTGCCTACACACAGAGCAGCGAGTAGCGGCTTTTCGTTCGTCTCTGCTCCATTCTTCGCTCTGACGATGCTCAATGGCTTTTACATCTTCGAGCTGAGTCGACGGCTGCTGGCCGTGACGAAGCCTCCATGCGCCTCCACTGCGTCTCTGGGGCCTGGCTTACAAAAGCTTGCTTTCCCGAACAGCTCAGCCATATTAGAGGAATAGATCAGTCTGAGGGTCGAGCTCTCCTCTGGGGAGTGGCACGACAAAGGCGACGCCTGGACAAAACCCAAATCTGAAATCCGCTTCCAGAGACCGATCAGGCCATGAAGCTCGGACTTGGAGGATCTTCTCTTTGAGCCCGGCCAAAATCGGTGATGACGGTGAAGCTGCGCCCGATTTGGGGAGGCCATCCTTCACGGGCGAGCTGGTACCGATCTGTCAGTGTAGCTTTCGGGTTTCTGCCTTAGGGTCGGAGACCCAGTCCGTCATGATGAAGCTGCCTTCGGCAGCCATTTCCTCCTGGTCAGACGCATCTGGAAGGCGGGACCCGACAAGGATCATTCGAGAAAAGGCCTGGTGTTCATTACTTGGCGGACTTGGGCTTTCGTCAGTCACCTCGCTTGTGAGCCGATCTTCAGTTCGACTTACAATGTTGCTGAACAAATTTACTCCTCTACTGCAGTCCTGGCATCTGAGGATGGCACCGATGCTGCAGGCATTAGGGCCGTAGAAGAAAGACCTAAGCTTCCATCTGCTTCACCCTCGCGGGGGCCTAGTTGGACTTCATGCTTGATGCGTCCGGAAGCATCTGAGCCCGACCCGAACATCGGCTGCATACCAAGATCCCGGCGCACATATGGATGCTGCATGAAGGCCTCTTACAGATCAGCAGCTGGGATTCGTCAGCACAGCCGTGGCCGTGTCTGCCTGGCTGGAGAGCCGCTGTCCCGGGCTGACGAGGAGCGCTCGAAGGAACTTCTGGCCTGGCAAAAGGAAAGTGGCAAGGATGCCTTCCCAGCACGCCCAACACGTAACACGCCTTCTGGTGAGAGCTGCACGCCCTCGAAAGACAGCTCGGGGCTCTTCTCGATGTTTGCCTGGGGGCGCTCTGAATCGCCTCCTTCCTCTGCGCCTGAGATGTGGACTGAGCTGCTCTGTAAGCACGAGACCAGAAGCTGCATGGGATTGGCTCCCGAAAAAGGCGTCCTGCAAGCCAACTGTGGCGACGGCAGCCGGTCAGAGAGGGCCGACTGATACCAAAGACCAAAGAGCTGCTGCCTTCCCATGAGCAGCTCGAAGAGTATTGCACCGACCTCTACTTTTAGTGCTACTCGAGAGTCCATCCGCACCCCAAAATAAAATCTGAGACTTCGGCTGACCAAAGATCTGCTTTCGCGTCATACGGCTCGTGCCCTCGACTCATGAGCTGTCCCCCAACATCGGAAATAAGCTAAAGGCTAAAGCTCTGTGGCCATCTGCGGGGCCCCTGCGTAGGATCTCTGGAGCCATGTACAAGGGTGACCCGCACACCGTGGCAGCCTCGATTTCTGAAATCGGGCGAACTCCTGCATTTAATAATTGAGCTCCGTGTTGGTGTTCATTCGGGGCAGGGGCCATATCTTGTGGAGGAAGCGCCCGGGCGAATCCGAAATCCGCGATTTTGAGCACCGGGTCCATCGAGCCTGTGAGTACGGTACATGCTGGAGTTATCGCAGGCAAAAAGTATCTGCATGTAGCCTGGATAGGCTCCGAGCAGCTGACTATCACTAAGTAAGATATTCTGCGGCTTCAAGTCGCGATGCAGCACGTTCACCTGGTGTAGCACCTGGGATGCAACGATGCACGGAGGAGCAATCCTAGTATGCTTGCACTTTGGGAAAGCAGTGCGAAATTCTATTGCGTCGCTCGAGACTGTATCCTAACATAGGGGCCTGACGACCTCACCTACGTCAATCGGGGAGCTGCACGTGTATACACGAATAATGACCGCGCAGGATTGCTCGACAAGACGTCTGGGCGTCCGGCAGAAAGCCCCTCTGCGATCTGTGTGAGAAACCGCCGTGCCGTCTGAGAAAGCCATCACATGTCGACATCCATGCCGCATGAGATGCGAGAATGCTGCTTGGGATCTGGGTTTCGTGCCTCCTCTTGAACTCGACCCTTCCTGCACAAAGCTGCGAAATGAAAACTCGGTGTTGCTATTTCGCAACTCCCAGCATTAAATTGAAAAGTATTCCTTAGTCTTGGGGCTGGACTCTTTCAGGAATTGTGACAAGTCTCCACCGGCACAGTACCTGATCGACCGGTGAGCAATGCAAGCGCCTGGAAGCCAAGGCAAAGCTTGCGGCACAGCCCATGGCGCACTCCAACACAAGGTAAAAGTGAGCGGCGCTTTTCTTCAGGTCCCGGAATCGCACCTCTCCGCGCATGGCATCGAGTCAAAAAAGCAAAATTGTCGCCGCCATGAGAGAACTGCAGCAAAGCGGCTATATTCGGATGAGATATTTTGCGCAGAACCTGGCGTGTCGAGACATAATGTCGGATCGTGACCGCATTCGACGCGACAAGATGACGAGCATGGCCTCTACCTCTTGCCGCAGCTGCGCTGTCTCAGTCACTGTCTGGCGGCTGATGACCTAGGTGCACTCCCAGTGTTGCTTTGGACTTTGGAGTTATATCATGTCCAACTGCTCCCGCAGCCTTGACGGCGACAGACTCGTTGCCTCACTTTAGGCAGATGCCAGGCTGCCAGGCTCAATGGCTTCCGGGCTTCCCGAGTGTCCACTCGCCTTTTCTGCTGGCAAGTCGCTGTCATCACGGCCTTTCCACACAGTGGCGTAGGAACCCTTGCCAATCCGCCTGGCACTTCCCAGCTCGTGAGCTCGTGGTCTTCTTGTCTTCACTGGCGCTCCCATCTGCCTCTCAAGGCTGTACCCTGCAACCTGCTTCCGGGTCATGGCGCCGGTCTTCTCTGCCAGACTGCCTGTGCTGTGGATACTGCTAAACATGATGGTGAGATCCCTGCAGCACAGCCATACCTTGAAAGCCCAGTCTTCAAACAAGACCATGGGGGACAGCAGCTTCGGAGACGGCGGAAAGTGATTGGAGTCTGACTGCGAAAGCTTGTGTTCTGACAAGTCGGCATGCGTCACCCTTTCAGCCAACACAGCACCTGAAGCCGAAAAAGCAGCACCGACGGGACAAGTCCGTGCTTGACCACGCCTGAGTGCTTCTAAACCTTTAACTCTAAACCTTTAACAACAAGCCAGCAAAGGCCAGCGCGAAAACGAAGCTTTCTGTGCGAACCTGTCGTTGCACCAGCGATGTTGTTGGCTAGCTGCTGGTGGTACTGGCTACTGTGGGCCTGGTGCACAAGATGTGCACATGCCAGGTGATAGCCCGCGAGTCTCTGCTTTCTCAACCAACACGAAAGGCGAGATTTGCCGAACGAATCCGAAGACTGCTTGTCTTGCAAGCGAACACTTTGCTTGAGCGCTTGGGTGACTGCATCGGCATTCTGAAATCTTGCCTGCACCAGCCTAGGCTGCTGCGGCGTGCTTTTAGATCTGCTTGACAGAGGACGAGGAAAGCAGGCTGCCTTCTAAAACCGCCCCCATGTACCAGCAAGTTTATCGTTCACAGCTCGCATAGCGCAACCTCCGATCGCGAGACCAAGCAACTAGTTTGCAAAGTCAACGCATCCAGTCACCAGTCGAGGCTGCAGTCTATGCCAGTCAACCCAAGCTCTCCACAATCTCTCGGAGGAGAGTGACTCCTCACCCCTGATCTACGCTAGCTTTCCGACGCCACTTTTCTGGCAAGAGTTGGTCGGCTTTCCAGGCCTAGTTCGCAAATCTGACTCTTGGAGCAGTTGCCGGGCCCTCACCGCAGGTTAAAACTGACTAAAAGACCAAAACATTTCAAGGCGCTGGTGTCGGCAGCGGCTGCGTCGGCATGGAGAACCTGATCTTGGGCCAGCGGATGTTGGTCCGATGTGATGATGGCGCGAAGAACCCCCAGCCGGTTCCACCCAGGCCTGGTTCGAAAGCCTGACTTGCTGAACGACAGCAGCAGTCGCGGGCAAAGCCGGCTTGCGCGTCGTTGTAGGTGCATGTGGCCCACATGGAACTCTCGGAGATAGCATCGTTGACATCTGAGTACAGCTCGAACTGCTGATTTATCAGGTTGTCTGCACTTCTCCACCAGTAGATGTAGCCATGTGCATCGAATCCACCACTCCGCTCCTGAATCTGCTTATACACAGACCACTCGTAAAAGGTGCTACCATCCGGGCTCACCTCCATAAGCCACACGCCACCGTTCTGCTCGAAAAGGGCATTGACGCAGTCCTGCGTAGCATCGAAAGTGACTCCGTCGTTGGCCGCAGTGTCCCGGTCCCAATCAATGATCTTCGCAAACTCTACCATGTCTGTGCCAAACGAAAGTGCATCAAGAGCTCCGCAAGAGGCTGGTAAACCGGATGCTGCCGGCGGAGGCGGCGGCGGCGCTGGTGTCGGCAGCGGTTGCGTCGGCATGGAGAACCTGATCTTGGGCCAGCGGATGTTGGTCCGATATGATGATGGCGCGAAGAACCCCCAGCCGGTTCCACCCAGGCCTGGTTCGAAAGCCTGACTTGCTGAACGACAGCAGCAGTCGCGGGCAAAGCCGGCTTGCGCGTCGTTGTAGGTGCATGTGGCCCACATGGAACTCTCGGAGATAGCATCGTTGACATCTGAGTACAGCTCGAACTGCTGATTTATCAGGTTGTCTGCACTTCTCCACCAGTAGATGTAGCCATGTGCATCGAATCCACCACTCCGCTCCTGAATCTGCTTATACACAGACCACTCATAAAAGGTGCTACCATCCGGGCTCACCTCCATAAGCCACACGCCACCGTTCTGCTCGAAAAGGGCATTGACGCAGTCCTGCGTAGCATCGAAAGTGACTCCGTCGTTGGCCGCAGTGTCCCGGTCCCAATCAATGATCTTCGCAAACTCTACCATGTCTGTGCCAAACGAAAGTGCATCAAGAGCTCCGCAAGAGGCTGGTAAACCGGATGCTGCCGGCGGAGGCGGCGGCGGCGCTGGTGTCGGCAGCGGTTGCGTCGGCATGGAGAACCTGATCTTGGGCCAGCGGATGTTGGTCCGATATGATGATGGCGCGAAGAACCCCCAGCCGGTTCCACCCAGGCCTGGTTCGAAAGCCTGACTTGCTGAACGACAGCAGCAGTCGCGGGCAAAGCCGGCTTGCGCGTCGTTGTAGGTGCATGTGGCCCACATGGAACTCTCGGAGATAGCATCGTTGACATCTGAGTACAGCTCGAACTGCTGATTTATCAGGTTGTCTGCACTTCTCCACCAGTAGATGTAGCCATGTGCATCGAATCCACCACTCCGCTCCTGAATCTGCTTATACACAGACCACTCATAAAAGGTGCTACCATCCGGGCTCACCTCCATAAGCCACACGCCGCCGTTCTGCTCGAAAAGGTCATTGACGCAGTCCTGCGTAGCATCGAAAGTGACTCCGTCGTTGGCCGCAGTCCCCCGGTCCCAATCAATGATCTTTACAAACTCCGTCATGTTTGTCCCAAATAGCAAGGTGTCAAGAGCGCCGCAAGAAGGTGGAAGCGGCAATGCCTTAGATGGGGCGAGAATGGCAGCCCCGCAGCCCATCCAGTAAGAAGCCTCCCCCTCCAGTGAGTTCCCTGTCAAACCATCCTCCTGGCAAGTGTGCAGTATGCTGCAGAATCCCGTTTCCACCTATATGTGGGATCCCGTTCTTGCTTGTGTTGCTTGGTGCGTGCACCCTGGCCCATAGGCCTACGTACGTAGGACCTTTAAGGTCTATTTGGCGCGGGCCTCTGCTCTGTGTATCAATATATATATATATATATATATATATATGTTATATATATGTTATATATATATAGAGTATATACACGGGTTTATTTTTCAGAAAAATAAAATAAGAAAATTCTTTGAATTTTGAAATCGTCCGGAATTATTTTTAAAAAATTTAAAAAATAAAAAATTTAAAATTCTTTAAATTCTTCAAAAAAGTAAATCGCCCGGAATTATTTTTTAAAAAATCTGAACAAAATAAAAGGAAAAATTCTTTAAATTCTTTTGAAAATTTAATCGCCCGGAATTAATTTTTAAAAAATTTAAAGCATTTCAAAAATTTAAATCCCGGGCCCCAGCCCCAGCCCCGGCCCACCCCACCCCAGCACGAAATAATTTGTTTTAATTCCTTAAATTCTTTAGAAAATTAAATCGTCCGGAATATTTTTTACAAAAAAATCTAAAAATTTAAAAAAGGAAAATTCTTTAAATTCTTTAGAAAATTAAATCATCCGGAATTAATGTTTTTAAAGATTTTAAATTTAAGAAATTTAAATCCGAAGCCCCAGCCCCAGCCCCGGCCCACCCCAACCCAGCACGAAATAATTTTTTAAATTCCTTAAATTCTTTAAAAAATTAAATCGTCCGGAATTATTTTTTAAAAAATTTACAAAAAAATAAAAAACTAAAATTCTTTAAATTAAATCGGCCGGAATTAAATTTTAAAGAATTTTAAGGTTTTAAAGAATTTAAAAAATTTAAATCCCGGGCCCCAGCCCCAGCCCCGGCCCACCCCAACCCAGCACGAAATAAATTTTTTAAATTCCTTAAACTCTTTAAAAAATTAAATCGTACGGAATTTATTTTTTAAAAATTTAGAAAAAACATTTAAATGAAAAATTCTTTAAATTCTTTAGAAAATTAAATCGCCCGGAATTAATTTTTAAAGATTTTAATTTTAGAAAATTTAAATCCGAAGCCCCAGCCCCAGCCCCGGCCCACCCCAACCCAGCACGAAATAATCTTTTAAATTCCTTAAATTCTTTAAAAAATTACATCGTCCGGAATTATTTTTTAAAAATTTAAAAAATTTGAAAAAGTAAAATTCTTTAAATTCTTTAAAAAAAAATTAAATCGGCCGGAATTAAATTCTCAAGAATTTAAAGATTGTAAAGAATGTAAAAAATCTAAATCCCGGGCCCCAGCCCCAGCCCCGGCCCACTCCGGAATTTTAATTTTTAAAGAATTTAAAGAATTTAAAGAATTGAAAAAATTTTAATCCCGGGCCCCAGCCCCAGCCCCGGAATTTGTTTTTAAAATCTAATCCCGGGCAGCCCAGCCTCACCCAGCCCCACCCAGCCCCGGCCCCAGCCTCAGCCAGCCCAGCCCCATCCACGAACCAGTTCCCCCCACCCCCAGCACCCCAGCCCCCAGCCCTCAGCTGCCCGCCCCAGCAGGCCAGCCCAACCCCCCCCCCAAGCCCGAAGGCCCCAGCGCCAGCAGCCCTTACAGCCTCCAGCCCAGCATCGTGCACCCAACCCCACCAAGCCAGCCCCCCGCAGCTGCCCACCCCCACGACCCAGCCCCACTCAGCAGGCCCCTGCCCATTTTCGAGAGCCCACCAGGCTCAGCAGGCCAGGCCGCAGGCAAGCTGCGAGCTGACCGCCTTCGGCAACCTGTCTAACATTGTTTCTCATCCACTTTCACCTATTCCCTCGCTTCAGTCCATGCCCTTTCACTCCTTCCCAGACCCTTCTGATATGAGTAAAATGAGAGGAGGTCGGAGGGACGAAGAACAGCTCTCTCCATTACTTTCTCTCATCTGCTTTGACCCTTCCCTTTCCTGGCTCCATGCATGCCCTCGCGAAGAGAAGAATAAGAGAGACAAGAGGAAGAGCAAAGAAGAAATTGGTTTCCCCTCTTTCACTACGTAGCACTTCTTTTGGCCACCCCCTCCACACTTCTCGTATCTTCCTCTCTCTTCCTCCTCTGCTGGGCTTGAAGCTCTCTCTCGCCCTCTCCGCAACTCTCTTCTTCCTGTCGAGCGGACGAGCGGTGGGAGAGGAAGGGCACAAGGTGAGTGAAGACGAGAACACTTCTTCCTTGTCATCCTCCACAACCTCTTCCTGGTTTTTTTTCCAATGAGACGGTGAGATAGGACAAGCAAGGCACTTTCGACTGCTTTCTGCATCGCTTCCCCTCCCCTCCTCTCTCTCACTCTCTGCCTCTGTTTTTGCTGGTCTTTCTCTCTTACCTTCTCTCTTTGCTTCTGTGTTTGTTTCCTTATGGCTCTCGTTCTTCTTCTGCCCTTCTCGGATTGTCTCTCCGCTTCTGTTGTCTTTTCTCTTACTCCCTTGTCTTCTTCCTTGTGAATTGTCCTTCTTCGACGGGAGGCAGGAAAGGCAGGAGGAGAAGGAATAGGGGGTAAGCGATTCTTTCCAAGCGAACATAATAGGCGGAGAGAAGCGGAAAAGGGAATGTGCAGAAGTAGACGGGAAGGGAGGGAGAGAGAAAGAGGGATCTGGAGAGAACAATGAAAAGGAGGATGGATGAGGTGATGAGAAAGAGTGCCCTTTGCATGCCCTGAACTCTCCGTTTCTTTCATTTCTCCTTCCTTATGAAGATGAATAGGGTAAGAGAAGAGGAAGAAGGCGAAGGGCAAGGAAGTAAGAGAGGCGAGCGAAGGAGGAATTCTCCTTTCTTCTCCGAACCGTCTTCCCGCATCTTACCGCTTCCTTTCTGTTGTCTGCTCTTCTTTACTGATGTCTTCGCAGAGCCTTTCCTCCTTATCCTTGTCTTCCCTTTGGTCATTCAAAAAGGACACGAGGAGGAGACGCGAACTGATTCTCCCTGCTCCTTCTTACCACACTCTGCTTCTCTACATCCCCCTGCTTTCCTTATACTCGGTTTGGTGTTCATGTCCTCGGGAGGCTCCCTTAGGGAGGAAGTTGGTGGCTTCCAGAAAGTTGTGGAAGTGCCTGAAGGCGCCTACAAGCCTCCTCAAGCCCTCGCGAGGCCCGGAGTCCTTGGAGATACGGCAACACTGGTACTCTCTCGCTTCCTCTTCTGTGTCCTTCTTCCTAGTCTTCCTCGTTTCTCTTTCTTTCGCACTCGACTTCCCCCACTCTCTGTCTATGACTTTCTCTTATCCACTTTCACCTATTGCCTCGCTTCAGTCCATGCCCTACCCTCCACTCCTTTCCAAACCCTTCTGACATGAGCAAGCATCAGGAGAATGAGAGAAGGAGGCGAGAGGGACGAAGAACAGCTCTCTCCGCTACTTTCTCTCATCCGCTTTGACCCCTTCCCTTTCCTAGCTCCATGCGTGCCCTTTGCTAAGAGAAAAATAAGAGAGAAAAGAGGAAGAACAGAGGAGACAGGGGCTTCCGCCCTTTCATTACGTAGCTTTGGCTTACGCTTCTTTCTTGTGAATTGTCCTTCTTCCTTCTGAGTGATAGAGGGAGAAGGACGGGAGGCAGGAAAGGCAGGAGGAGAAGGAATAGGGCAAGCGATTTTATCAAAGCGAACATAATAGGCGGAGAGAAGCGGAAAAGGGAATGTGCAGAAGTAGACGGGAAGGGAGGGAGGGAGAAAGAGGGATCTGGAGAGAACAATGAAAAGGAGGATGGATGAGGTGATGAGAAGAGTGCCCTTTGCATGCCCTGAACTCTCCGTTTCTTTCATTTCTCCTTCCTTATGAAGATGAATAGGGTAAGAGAAGAGGAAGAAGGCGAAGGGCAAGGAAGTAAGAGAGGCGAGCGAAGGAGGAATTCTCCTTTCTTCTCCGAACCGTCTTCCCGCATCTTACCGCTTCCTTTCTGTTGTCTGCTCTTCTTTCCTGATGTCTTCGCAGAGCCTTTCCTCCTTATCCTTTTCTTTCCTCTTGGTCATTCAAAAAGGAAACGAGGAGGAGACGCGAACTGATTCTCCTTGCTCCTTCTTACCACACTCTGCTTCTCTACATCCCCCTGCTTTCTTTATACTCGGTTTGGTGTTCATGTCCTCGGGAGGCTCCCTTAGGGAGGAAGTTGGTGGCCTCCAGAAAGTTGTGGAAGTGCCTGAAGGCGCCTACAAGCCTCCTCAAAGCCCTCGCGAGGCCCGGAGTCCTTTGAGATACGGCAACACTGGTACTCTCTCGCTTCCTCTTCTGTGTCCTTCTTCCTAGTCTTCCTCGTTTCTCTTTCTTTCGCACTCGACTTCCCCCAATCTCTGTCTATGACTTTCTCTTATCCACTTTCACCTATTGCCTCGCTTCAGTGAGTCCATGCCCTACCCTTCACTCCTTTCCTGACATCTCCGCTACTTTCTCTCATCCGCTTTGACCCCTTCCCTTTCCTAGCTCCATGCATGCCCTGCGCTAAGAGAGAAATAAGAGAGCAAAGAGGAAGAAGAGGAGAAAGGGGCTTCCGCCCTTTCAATATGTAGCTTTGGCTTACGCTTCTTCTGGCCACCCCTTGCCCCCTTCTCTTATCTTCCTCTCTCTTCTTCCTCTGCTGGGCTTGAAGGTCTCCCTCGCTCTCTCTGTATCTCTCTTCTTTCTGTCATTTCTCAATCTCGTCCTTTCCCTTCTCCACTTTCCTTCCTGGTTACCACTTTTCCGCCAGACAAGAAAATCAAAGAAAGGAGAGCGGGCGAGCGGTGGGAGAGGAAGGGCACAAGGTGAGTGAAGAGGAGAACACTTCTTCCTCGTCTCCCTCCACAAGCTCTTCCTGGTTTATCACCAATGAGACAGTGTGATAGGACAAGAACAAAGAATGAATAGACGTGGAGGTCAAGGCACTGTCGGTTGCTTTATGCATGGCCTCCTCTTTCAGTCTCTCTGTTTTGATTATCTTTCCCTCTTATTTTCTCTCTTTGTTTCTGTATTTCGTCCCTTATGGCTCATTTCTCGGATTCTCTCTCCGTTTCTTTTGTCTGGTTTCTTACTCCCTTGTCTTTCTCCTTGTGAGTCTTCCTTCTTCCTTCTGAGTGATAAGGGGAGAAGGACGGGAGGCAGGGAAGGGAGGAGGAGAAGGAACAGGGCAAGCAATGGGACAAAGAGAGTGAGAGAAAGTTAAAGGCAAATATCAAAGCAAGCATAATGCAGTAGGCGAGAGAAGTGGAAAAGTAAATGTGCAGAAGTAGAGAGGAAAGGATGGAGGAAGAGAGAGAGAGAGAGAGAGAGAGAGAGAGAGAGAGAGAGAGCGAGGGGGAGATGGACAACACAACGCACACGAGGAAGGAGGAGATTATGAGGAACAGTGTCACTTGCTCTCCCTTAGCTCTCCGTTCTTGTCGCTTCTCCTTCTAATTGTGAAGAAGGATAGGAGCAGAGAAGAGAAGGCAAGGGCAAAGAAAGTCAAAGAGCCGAGTGAGGGAGGAATCCACCTTCCTTCTCCCAACCATCTTCCTCCATCTTATGTCTTCGCTTCTGTTTTCTATTCCTTCCAGCAAGGGAGCAAGGAAAGAGGGGACAGAAGAGATGAGAGAGCGAGACACGGCAGAGAGGAAGACAGCGAGAGCGAGAAAAAGAGAGAGAGAGAGAGAGAGGCGGAAGAGAGACAACGCGAGAGGAAATGAAAAAAGGAACCACGTCGAGAGGAACTGACGTCGTCCCTTTGCCCCTCCCTCGTGTTACCCCTGTCATTGAAAGCAGAAGGCGAGAAGAAAAGAAACAGAAAAAGGATCAATCAAAGGAAGGAGAGAAGGGAGAGATGAGAGAATGAAGAGTTCACTTCGTCCATCTTCATGCCTATTCCTCTGTCATGACTTCAATTTCTGTGTCTTCTTGACAAACGGCAGAGTGGATAGGCAGGAACAGGAACGGGGGGTCATTTGTTCCTGACAAAAGGAAGAGTGGATAGGCAGGAAGAGGAACGGGAATGAGAGAAAGAAACAGGACGAGAGATACACAAGACAGATTCTTGATGGTTCCCGGCGCGAGAGGGACGGGAGGACATTGTGATAGACCCTAAAACCAGCACGGAGAACGTCGCCTGGCATGTCCGAGTTGCGAGAGCGTAAAACCATCTAAATCCTCATAAACTGCAAACCTTAGATCTTCCATAGTATACTGACCCCGGTAGACCATAGTTAGGAGCTAAGACCTTAGACCCTTAAACTCCTGTCGAGACCTTTACACTGTACACGCTTCGGCCTCCCGATGTAACCGTCGTGCCAGACCTTGTCGTCGCCGTGCTGAACCCAGTCGTCGTCGTGCTAAACCGAGTCGTCGTCGTCCTTGTCGCAGTGGTGTTGTTGCAGTTTCAATACAAAGCCCAGCAGGATTGCCAAATAGACCCTAAAGGTCCATGCCACATAGGCCTACCCCTCTTTGGTCTGCATCGGTCTGTCTGCTTGGCCCCTTTCGGGGTGGGAGCAATCACGTTCCCTCGAGTGCGCCCGTAAACCACCGGCCACCAGGGCTTTTCTGAGGCTTTAGGAGGATGTGAGAGTTCGTCGTAAAATGTCCCCTCATGAATCTTGCTTGCTTGCTTACGGGTATGGAGACCGAAGCCCTCGTCCGAAGGCTTACCCGCCCAATTCTGGGGTTGAGGGTGATCCGGTTACCCGTCTGTGCCTGTAAACCCTACGGTACCCCCAACGACGACCCCTCCTAAACCCTTACCGTGACAATGAATCTCTGGCTCTCTCTCTGTTTTGCTTGCACTCAGCCAGAAGAGGGCTCCAGAACCCTCCCCGCGCGCAGGCGTGCACTGGCCGTAAGCTCAGAGAAAACGTAGCGGGAACGAGGTGCTGTTCGGCGCCGTCAAAACCCCCTGAGCTTTACTTAAGGAACCACGGCCTCGCGCCTCGTCCCACCAACACCAAGAAGCTGTGCTGCACTCTTCGCCCGCCGGTGCGAGCGCTGTACTGTACGGGTGGCATGCTCTTCAAGCAACTTCCAGCACAACTCCGAATGCAAAACATGACTGCAAAACCGGATCGGTGCAGTACTGGGCTGGCTCGTCCTACACATGTCTGAGGGCCCGATCATGCAGCACCACACTGCTGGCCCGAATTGCCCAACAGGATTTGACGCACTTGCTGGACCCCCGCTTTCGCAGCAGCCTGAGGATCAACCTCGAAGACAAGCCTGCATCCCTCATTGCACATCATTGTAAAGTGGGACAAGAACGATCCTCATCATGGGGATGTCGCTTGCTTCACGGATGCCCCCTGTCATATACCTCTCTTTCGCGAGGGATCGCAAGGGTTCAGGGAGAGGGTGCAACCCCCTCCCCCGCGCGGCAGCGCCCCCCACAATGTATGGGAAGCAAGGTGATGATACCTCTCTGTCTCCCTTCTAAGATTTGCTAAGTGCGCAGTCGCTCAAAAGAAGGTTCCAAACCGCTTAAATGCTAAGACAGCGGCACGGTCCCGGCATTTGCCAAATCAATCTGAAGCGATTTCCGACAAGGAACCGTGGTTGTCGTGGGCATTGTTGTCGTGGGCGTCGTCGCGGGCGGTGTCGTAACCTCCGACAGCGGTGCTGTTGTCGACTCCTCATCACTTGCACTCGCTTGATCACATGGGCCAATCCGGAGGCCTTTGCTTACTCCCCGCACCTTCCGGTAGTATCCGGGGTCTCCACGCCGGCGACGCCTCCTGAGCCTCCTGAGTTTCAGAATTGAAATTTAAATGGCCCTTGCCAGACAGGACCCGAAGGAGTCGCAAGAAAATGTTTGTGACAGTGAGCTTAGCGACATCACAAGCTGACAAAGCAACCCTGCTTGAGGTTAACACATGGATCGACAGCATGAAGATTTTCAGGCGTTTGACATCGAAGCAGCTCCAGTTCGGGGTCAGTTGGTGCGCCGATTTCCGACAACTGGACACTACAAATCAATGTCCATTCGAGCCCGGTCTACCGAAACGTACCCTTGCCGCAAAACCGATGCATCGCAGGCACCGATAACGGCGAAAGCGTCCTTCTGTCTCGCCTTGAAGAGCTTCCTGCGCACGGCCGAAAGTGATTGCACAAGCCATCACCCCACCAGAAATTACTGCAGCAGCTGCCGCTGCAGAGACAGAATACTTAAGAGCCCTCGAGCACCCTTCGGCCTTGGTCGGCTCGATGCCGGCGTAGTGTTGAAGGAAGGCGTTTTCATCCGTGCATGTCTTCGAGCTGGCAGGGGAAGGACTCATTTTCTACTTTGATTCCTCGCGACCTGTCTAGCTTGGCATGTGTTGCCATCTGAGGATGCAGTGATTGGTGCGAAGGTTGCATCCATAAACAAAGTCAGCTGCCCCTAGCACAGACCAGACCAACATTTCATCCCCTCAAAGCCTGCAGACGTCCGGGTTGACTGCAGCCTGTGCCACAGCCTCAGCCACTCTCGCGTTTGTATCGCCAAGACCATGTCAAGAGCATATCATGCTTCAATTCGTGCGAAGCTTCCAAGCTTCATCACCCAAGCAATGCCAAGGCATGAGTGAATAAGTGAACAGTAACAGCTTTCGAAACACTCGGAAACGATGCCGCGAAGATTCTGCTTCGCAGCCTGGAAAGCCCCAAACACTCCCAGAATGTTCCGGTGCCAGGAAAAACAGACGCCGACTCTTTTACTGCATCTCTCCGATTTAAATTGAAACGACACTTTTATGAGCAGGGGCTGCTCCGAGGGAATACTGAAGCTGCAGCCGAAGGACGAGCAAAGAAGCCACACGCAACACGGCAGATCTCATGCCCGTCCTTCTGTGAAATGAACCGAGTCGGCGGTTGGGTTTCCCAGTAGACTCGAGCCAAAACTGCATGTCGGAAGGGTTGTTCGACTGAGTCTTCAACTTTTCAGAACTCGCCAGCCCCACTAATATCAGCCAACCGTGGGGCGTGGTTCTGGCGCCATCGACAGGCTAAGGTGGGATAACTACCGATGCAAAAACCGCTACTCATGCTACTATGTACTACTCTTTGGCCTCACAAGACTTCGTGCTGATCTTTGGCGACCTGTTAACAAATCGCCCAACTGAAGCCAACTCGAAAGGAACAAATGCGGCATTTTGGGCTGTCCGTGGCGAAAGTCACTGCCGTTTACATTTCGTACGGGTTCTGGCTGAAACATGCTACATCAGAAGCTTGGCCTCCGAGAAACCGTGCACTGCAATCTCACAGGGAAGATGTCGCATGATGTTCAGACCTTTTCAGATCTTCGGCACCTTAACATGGCAAGCTGAGGTTGTCAGGATGCAGGAGCAGGCACATCAGGCAACCAGTTTAAGGGGCACATCCATGTCAACTCAGGAAACGTTTGTACTTTCCCAGTCTGGCACTTGATGGTTATACAGGGGCATGCTAGATCCATACCAAAGGGATTATAACAATGCCGTGCAAGATCGGCTGCTGCAACTCGGATGTGAATAAGCACGCCTGGCAGCAGAAAGGCTGCAGAATGTTTACGGCGCAGATTTTCGTTCTACAATCCCGCCAGTACGTGGGCTAAAATCTCTGGCCATGCTCCTGAAATGCGTCAGGAATGGAGGGAAAGAATTTTGCCTGTCCTCCGGAACCTGCCAGTACTTAAGCACCAGCGCACAGGGAAGCATGTTGCTCAGAATCTGGAGTCCTGGCCACTGCTTCGGTTGATCCCATATCTTAAACTCGCCCACTCGCTCGGCGATGAAGGTTGATCTCATATCTCAAACTCGACAGCACATTAGGAGCTGCTAGGCCATGACGAGTGATCCCACTAAGCGATGGCGATTGATGTTATATCGTAAACCCGAACGCTCATTCGTCAATGGCGCTTGATCTCATATCCCGTGGTGACACTAGCATTTTTTGCCAAGCACCTGTAGTAACTGCAATACTACCAGTAACACTGAAGGTGGCATCGGGTATGCAGAGAAGCCAAGCCGGGAAGCCAAGAAGCCAGGATTGGCAAAAGCAAACACAACAAAACAGACAAAACAAAAAGACCCCTCCTTGAATGCGACAAGCATATGCAAGCTTTCTACTTGTTTAAGGGAGCTGACACCTTCCGCCGAGCCGATTGGGCACCCCGGTTCCACCAACGTTCATGTGTACATGATGGTAGCAAAAGCCTCCAAGGAGCTTCGCAAAAGTGAAGAAGCTAGATCATGATCTCCGCAGGGTCCTGGAGCATGTCCACCTTGCGAACCAGGAGCCTAGATGGTGGTCTGCATGCTATACACACGCAGGCATGAACACATGTAGGTAGGTAGATAGACAGATAGACACATAGACAGACGGACGGACGGATGGATGGATGGATGGATAGATAGGTAGATAGATAGACAGATAGACAGATAGATAAATGGATGGACACGTGAACAGATAGATACACAAACAGACAGACAGACAGACGGATGGAAAGATGGATGGATGAACGGAGGGATAGATGCACATGTTCCAAAAGCATCTGAACACATGCAATGCTACGAAGACGCTAAGTGCATGTTTCCGGTCCAGAAGCTTTGGCTGCCAACTTCGCAATGCCCTCGGCAACAGAGCGTTTGCAGGACGCGGTGGTTGAGGTGCTCTAAAGCGACACATGACCACCCACAACGCAATGTGAACTTGCTCTGCAGCCATCGAAACTGACAGGCACCGCAGCCTGAGGGCGGCAGCCAGAATAGAAGTATGCCTCGCTGCGCAACCCCAAAACGGAACAGCAGCTACAATAGAAAACCAATGCACGAGCCTGGCACGACAGTGCTACGCGGTGAGGCGTGAAAACACCTAATCGCTTCCATGACAAATAACTAACTCACCGACGATATTTGTGCAGTGCTCCGCACGCGCTGGTGAAGTGGTAAATCGAGGAGGCTGAGAGTATCTTTTCTGTCGCCTGCTTAGCTCTCTCACATCTCGAGTCAGTGTAGGCAAAATCAACACGTGCTCTTCAAACACATGCCTTCCAGAAAGCGATTCTTGTAATGGCAGGTCATGCCGCCCTGGCAAAGGCGGGGAAAACGATTCGCTGCCAGCCCTGCACAGCAGCTGAGTGCCTGGGCACATGGTGGGCCTAACCATCAAACAAAGGGTTCTTGGGGCCAGGACGCTTGGGCTGACCCTCTTCGAAAAGCGTTGATCTGGCTCCCGCTCCAGGTGTGCCGAAGAGGCTCGCTGTTCCTGCTGGCTTCGGGGCTGGTGTAGGTGCAGCAGCCTTGGTGGAGGGCATTGTGGAGACGGGCACCGCAGAGCCTGTGCTGGGTGCGGCCATGGGCGCGGCGGGAGAGGGGCTGGTTGCCGGGCGGGCTGCAGCCTTGGGTGCGCTTGGTGCAGGAGCCGCCGCCTCGTCCTCTGCCTCGAAGGCGATGGCTGCGAGAGTTGGGTCTCTCGTCAAGACGGAGCTCGCTTTCATCAAGACCTGCAGCTGATTGTTCAATGTGCGCCTCTCTTCAACTATGTGGGGAGGCTCTCCGAGGAGCTCGGACAACTTGTCTGGGTGATTTAAAGCGTTGAGTAGCTCAAACTGTAGCTTGTCCTGCACTGCTCTAACGAGGTAGAAGCCAATCGCCTTTGGAATGGAATCTCTGATGTTTCTCACGGTAAGCTCGAAGTAGGAATCCAACCGCTTTCGAATCTCAAGAACAAACGGGCCGCTGTACCGCTGCTGCTTTCTTTGGGCCTCGCTCTTCTTCAAGAAGTTGCTCACACTCTGATAGCCCTGCTTGGTAGCATCTTTCACTTGCTGCAACCCCTTCTCTGCCATTCCTGGCTCTTTCTTTTCCTCCTCAACTGGTGGGGGAGGTTGCTGTTGCTGCTGTTGGTTCTTGTACATCGGCTCCATGGAACCATGGTTGATCAAGTAGTCTGGATCGTTCGTGAAGAGGTAGCCCACGTAGCAGGCAATCTGTTCTTCCACGATCTTTCTGGTCTCATCCTTCTGCTGCTGGATGATGTTTTGCGTCATGTTCAAGACAGACTCCGCCATCCGAGGGAAGCGACGGAACACCGCATGCGCCATGCGCTGCGACAGCACGTCCAGGGCTGCTGCGATGTTGTGCACGCATTCCACCGACGGAATGGCGAGCTTCTGCAGGTGTGGCAGAGCCAAGAACTCGAAGGTATCTGGCGATGGAAATCCTGGCAATGCATCGCCTTCATGTAGGCGAATTGCCTTGTCAATGTCGTCATCGGACATGTCAGCCGTGATCTTTGTCTCCATGAACTCTATCAGAAAATCGTTCATGATGGTGCGAATCTTCGCACCACCCGATCCTGAGCCACTCGCAGGTAGGTTGCACATGTACCGCTGTAGCTTGCGGTCGTATTTCCCTCTGATGGTGTTCTTGAACATCTCACAATAGTCTGTGACTAAAGTCCACATCACCTGGACCCTCTCTGCGGTTTCAAGCGGCACTCCCTCTCCAAGCTCGTCCAAGCGATCTTGGACAGATCTCCGCTTTTCATTGATCTCTTTCTTGATTTCGGGCAGAAATCTTCGGATATGTTTGAAGAGAATCTGCGTCAGCTTGTCAATCAGAACTGGAGTTCCAGTCATGCCTGGCGGTAGCTTGCTGTAGATGCGGTGGTTGTCAAACCACTCTTTCTCGTCTTTGAGGGAATCCTTGACCGGCTTCTTGTTCACAATGTCTTGCTGGCTGCGCATCTTTACCCCTACATAGCCAAGGCGTAAGGGCACATCATCACCTCTGAGCATGGATGCGGCATCAGTTCCTTGATCCATGATGTCGATCTTGGTGATGACACCGATAGATCTCAGGCCCTGTGGATCTACCTGACGGGCCAGCTGGAGGCTGTCCGAAACGGACATGTCTTGATTGGCCGGCAGCACTGCCAGGACAATCGTGCGAGGGTCGTTGATGTAGTGGAGCGTCATGTCCTTCGTCAGCTTCTCAATATCCTCTTTCTGGTCACTGCCCTTGACCGGCACCCTGGTAACCCCCGGCAAATCAATGAGTGTCAGGTCCGGTGCCCCTGTGGCATAGATCGTGAGGATGATGGGGTCATTGACGATCCCCTTGTTCGAGCCTGCGACTTGATCCGTCTGGCGCTCGATCTCTTGTCTGACCTCGTCAAAGTTGGTAAACTTCTTGTCTCCGACCTCAGTTGAGCCACGATCCTCTGAGTGAAACACATCGGCAAGAGCACAGACCCGATACAAAACAAACCTGAGGCCAGGCACCTTGTCAAAGACAGCCCAAGCCTTGTCTTCGGCGTACTCTTGGGTGTTCAAGTGTACGAGACGCAATTCCAGGGGGCGTCGAGTGACAACCCCTCCTCCACGAGGCAAAAAGTCCAGGCCGACGATGGACTCAATGAGAGAACTCTTTCCTGGCGCCAAACACGGCAAGTAAGTAAGCTTGGAAACCAGGTGCGGTGGCACTATGCGAAAACTACCCTACAGCCGATTTGACTTAGCAACACCAAGTCGCCACTGCTCTGGGTCCCGATTGCAGCTATCCGAGGAAGGCTGATGTAGTGCTGTAGGCCCACATCTCGCAGCTCATCTACTACAGTGATGAGCTGCCTCAGGTTCTCATAGATGGCAGACATGCTGGACTTGCGCCGGCTGCCTCACGCGGGCCGGTGCTTGAGCCGAAACAAGCACACGTTGGTACATGTCTCTGTCTGTACCTGCATGAAAATTCACCTGTGTTCCTGCCCTTGATTTGCATCTCTGCTCGTGCCAGTGGTCAGGATGGCAAGCCGCCGAACCGAGGCGACTGCCACGGTGCTGTAATCGTCAGAGATGGGGTTGTCAAAGGCCCCTGTGATGTTTATGACCTGCCGGAGACACGCAACAGGCGCAGTGGCCGGCGCGCCAGTTGCGAGGATTGCCACCACGGCACGCTCCACAACAGGAGCTGCCCACCGCATAGTATAGTATCCCGGCATTCAGCTCATACCTCAGCATGAATTTGCCACTCGTGTGGCAGTAAGGAGATACAAACTTCAAGAGTATGAAAAAGCAAGCCTGCCACGCATTATCCGATGATCAGGCGCACCTTCGTAGTTCCGTACGGGCACCTCTTCGCGAGCAAGGCGCTTGCTCGCGAAGCGTACACCGTGGCAGCGGATCTGCGTCATGAGTGTTGCTGAGACAACTTCTCCAGGCGGGAAGCGACAAAAAAAGTCTTCACATAACACCACCTGCCACCATCAGTCTGAATATCATTGCAATGAAAAAGCTCCTCCGCGGTTCTGCTAACCGTACTTAGCCGTGGTTTGCGCTATGTCTTTGCGTATGCAAGTGTGATTCATGTGGCTATATACATGTCCCGCCTTGTGCCACCCTCGGCCTCGCCACTCTCATCGCAGTTCAGATCGGCCAGCTGCCGCTGGGACAGCCGGACTACCATCATCCGAAGGAGTATGAGAACTTCACTTAGGGTCATGGACATGAAACTTTGTTTAACTTGCAATCTGCTTGATGCTATCTCGGCGGAGAGAGAGAGAGGGATGATGTGTTCGAAACAGATGCCCAGGGCGTCAGCTCCGGTCTCTCTTGACATCTCTCTTCCGCCCTAATTTTTACACCGCTCTGCCTTCACTTCGTGGTCCTGTGACTCCAGCCTGTCGTCGCTGGAGTTTTGCGAGCCCTTTTTCATGTATTTGGTCATCCCATGCAGCGAGCCTTAGGCATCAAGAACAACAATAGAGATACAGCTCCATGAAAAGGCAACCAGGCCAAAGGTCGACACCAGCGATCGAATGGAGGGACTCTTGCAAGCAAGTCGCCGATTGTGCGCACCTGGTCCGGGCACGGCTTCTGACTCTGGAACACACTCAGAGTCACTTCACAACTTGAGCCCCGGCCCCGCTAGGCAACTGACAACCTTCCAATTTCCGCGGTAAGAGTGGAGCTCTTCGAGCTCGTCCAGCAGATTTAGTACAATCAGGATTGCAGTCAGGATGACCTGGGAGCAGGGCAAAGCTGGGTTCTCCGGAAACCCGGGCTGAGTCGTCGTAGCACCCGAAGCAGCAAATGATACTCGTCAGAAGCTGCTCAGAAATCAAAATCGGAACGGACGGAAACCCACCCTGCACAACGAAAGGCCTTGGATCCGCCGACCCTGGCGGCGTGTTGGATGGGTTTCGATGGGTTTGGAGGTGTTAACCTCCCTTTTTCCTCCCACACCAAAATCCCGCGCACCGGGCGCACCCAGGGGGGGGGGGGGGTACCCCATGGCTGTTTGCAAGGAGCACCCAAGCCCCAAGAAGCATCACACCACAGCCCATTGGGTTCAAATCAACTCACTGTAGGAGACCACCAATTTTTTTCTCCTTTTTCGTGCGAAAGCCCCTCCTCCCCTCCCCCCTCCCCCCCTCCCCCCCTCCCCCTGTGCCGATACACCCCCAAGGGATACTCCTTGTGAGGAGGTGTATGACCAGTTATTCCCTAAGGATCAAAGGGCAGCGCCCTGCACACGGACAGTAGTTGTTTTGTCTTGCTACGCAAGGAGAGCTTGTCTTGTCTCAATATGGTAAAACCACTGTGAGCCAATGGGCAGCGGAATGTATATGTATGAGCATGCAGCCATTGCTGTAGGTACCTGTTAGAGCTACCCCTTTAGAGGTTTATGGTTTCAAACAGACACTAATTTTCTTTTACCGGAAGCATGGCCGCACATTCACACATATACTATTATGCCCACTGTCACAGTTGCGGAGTTTGGACTCATGATAAAAACAGCATATTGTTTATGCTAGGTATAGCACTGAAGTACACTGCTGAGGACACTCCACTCATTTTGCACACACACTCATGCATGTTGGTCAGAGAGATCATCTGTACAAGATCATGTCTGGTGATGTTTTCTACATTGAATTATGCAGCCTTTCACTTTGCTCTTGTTAGAGCTTTGTGAGTCACTGTTGTGAAACTCTGAGAATTTTTCTTATCTCAGATTCGGATCCAGGGTTGGATCATAGGCGCGAGCATAGACGTTCGGATGTGGCTCATCCGGGTCTGAGTGGTCTTCTTCGGAACTTGAAAAGATTCCGAGTAATCTGTTCTCCGCCCTGGTGAAGGCGGCGTCTGCAGTATCATATCCATGGTTGGATGTTATCGCCTTTGGCTCGGCCTTTGGAGCAGCTTGTGAGCTGGCTGGAGTTGCCTTGGCTTTTGCCGGTTGCGGCTGCTTAGCCTTTGCCCGTTCAGCCCTTCTTCTTTCAAGCTGTCCGTCTGAGGACGCCCATGATCTTTCACTTTCATCTCCTGAAGGAGATAAGGCGTGGGCATAAAGGCTATTCCAGTACTGTGCTGCAGAAGGAGTTAGGACTTCTTCATTGTCAGATTCTGACTGGTCTTCCTCAGAGCTTTGGTCGTCAAAGAGTGTCTCGAGGACATTTTTGAGATTGTTATTTCTTCGCTCTATCTCTAGTGAGGAATGGACCAATTGGTTAAAGACTGTCCTTGAGTCCTTCAGTGCTGTTAGAAGGATTTCCACTCTGGATAGAGTATCTTGGATGGTGTCAAGATGTTCCTTTCTTTCCTCCTTGTCTCTCTGGATAGAGCCTCGCAATGCTTGTGCGATTCTGAGGAGGTCTGTGTATTTCGCAAGAGGCATAGTTACCGTTTGATTGTCATGTATGACAGTTGTTTCGTCGCCGCTTAAGTTCCTGAATAGGACTTCCACGACTGGTAGGAACTCCGTGCTCCACGGTTCCTCTTCATCATATGTTTCTACGTGCTGTAGCACGCGTTGTGTAAACTGGCCGGCTGCTTCTACCGTTGCATCGATAGAGCTGACGTGTCTTGCTACTATGTTTCGGCACGTAACGTTAATTGCCTGGCCTTGATTGGCTTCGTCAAGTGCAGCGTCTGCATAGGTGCAGAGTCCACTGTTGTGGGCTTCTCTAGCTGCCTTTCGTTGAATGCGCCGATTTTGACCTCCTCTTCTGGTAGGACCTTTTGGTCTTGGAGGATCAGAAGGTACTGTTCCTTTCGCCTTTGGCGGAGGACTCTTAGGTGGAGGTGATATGTTTGCCTTGTTAGGCCCTGGTGGCATTGCCTTGGGCACTGATGACGATGCGGCACTTGAGAGTGCAGATGTACCTCTGGCCTTTGCCGAGGATCCCTTGGGGATCGATGTATAGGTAATCTGCATGGCTTCTTCGGCCATTTGTGCATGCAAGGCATCCTTGAATAATTGTGTCATGTGAGGAGTGTTACTTGCATCATCGTAGGTCTGGAAGCGCTCAATGTCTCTTTCGGTGCCACGTGGTCGTGTATCACCTCTTTGGAAAGGATCGTTCCTGCGAATCTCCGCAACTTGTACTGCATGGAGGCAGTTTTTGCACAGCACCTTCTTGCAAACATCTCTTGCTTGCTTGAGCTGGTAACAGCTGTCTGAGAGATGGTAGACTTCGCTTCGGGAAGTATGCCAGATAGGTCGCAGATCAGTTGTTTCTCCGGAATTGACCCTGTTGGGTCCTAAAGGTTCACGCGTCTGCGGTTCATCCTCGGGTTCGAGGAATGGAACTCTTTGGTTCGCTGCTGCTTTTGATTTTGGTTGTTGGCGCTCCATACATCTGATAGGAGGCCTGGTAATCTGCTTCCACATCCAGTGTAAGCCCATTAGCAGCAGAAACACATTCCACGCGATGCTGAAGACGGAGAAGTCCTGCTCACTGGTTAGTGAGTTTGGAAGTGAAGTTTCATCAGTCTTGATAGACTCTGCGTTTGCTCCACCTCGGTTGCGGTGTCCGAACCAGCCCGACAATCCCGCTGCTGTAGCAGCTGTTCTGAGTGCCTTGCCGCTCGGAGCAGACGGTGGACGCGATGCCTTCCTTCTTCTTCTCCGGCTGGAGGATTCGTCCTCTTGTTCCTCTTCATCTCTCTGAGCAGACATCAAGTTTGATGTTTCTCTTTCGTGTTCTTCGATGTCACTTTTTGTTGGTGACGGTTCTTCTTCTAGTCCATCCAGCTCTTCCAAAGACATGTTGAGCTTGTCAACAATATTGGTTCTTTGAGGCCTGGACCTTGATCTTGGTAGATCTTGTTGTGAAGAGGACGATGATTCCTGGTTCCTTCTTGGAGGAGGACCTTCAGGCTCGCTGGGACGTTCAGGCTGTGGCCACTCCCAGAATCTTCCGTATCTGTGATGGCTACCTGATGGTTGCGATTTGTCGTACCAGCTGTTGCCGGATGAGTAAACGAATGAATCGTTGTAACCCCAGTATTCAGCATTACGCTGCTTGTAAGCCTTTCGCTTGTCAGCGATCTTTTGGACCTGGGCATCTGACCGGTTGTGTTTCCCTTTTGTAAGGATTGGTTGTATCGTGAAGCCCAAAGGGCTGTGCCAATCTTTGTCAGAGGGACTCAACCATAGGTCAAGGTTAGAAAAAGTTGAATAGTACTGCTTGACTGAGACAAACAGACGGATATCAATATCCCTGTTGTTGTTCGTGTCCTGCCACATATCTGAGATTCGTTCCCAGTATGTTCTTTCGGCGGCAGGTGTGACTTCTCTTGGACTAGGTGACGCCGTGTGCGGCGTTTTACTCCAGTCAAGGATATAACTGTTGATACAGTCAAGGTCAGCAACTTTCTTCGCCGGGTCCGCCGGTAGACGGTCTGCACGTGCCAGTCTGTGCTGGTCGGAGTTGTTCAAGCAAAGATGTCGCACTTGTGAGTGCCTTCCTGCTATTTTGTTGAATGCTGCAAGTTTCTTCTCCAGGTATAGAGAAAACAAACTGTTTCGCGGGTGAACGTCTCCACCTTTTAAGGTGAGCCTCGACGCAATATTATTGAGATCTCCCGCTATTACATCCGGTTTAAAAGGGAGAACCTCGTTGAGGAACGCGTTCACCAGTTCGCGTCTCTGTTCTTCCTTATGAGTCATGAACGAGTTGAAATGGACGATCGCGATGGTGATGACCTTGTAAGGCCCTTTTGTACACCACATCTCGTCAAGATCGTTAGATGCTTCTTGTGAGAAGATCTCTGCGTATGACTCAAAGTCTTCCTCTGGTGGCTCATCACCCTCGACATGGCCGTTCCATTCACAGAGAATCGGCGAGGGGTCGAGGTTCGACAATGTCAGACACGCCTCTGGTGAGAGGTAAGAGCCATCAGTGGGTCCATCCTTGTCAGGATTTTTGCCCTTGAGTGGGTCATATCCGATAATCTGCATGAACTCGTCTCTCGTCATCCTTTGGCCAGAATATGGGTGGACCCATTCTTTTGCCTCTGGTATGGTACTGTGGTACCCAAAGGTGAGGCGGCATACCGCACCGTGGCATGCCCACAGTCGCTTCTTGGGACCACCATTCTTAGGCTTCATTGTTCGATGACGGTAAAAGTGGTGGACGAGAGCGATGTCTGTTGTTGGGTCACCCTTGACTCCAATATACATCGAGGGTGCCTCAGGCTCCTTGGGAGGAGAATGGATTAGCATCCCCCTGTATTCATGTTGTCGCATGGTTGCGATCGAATACTCTGACGCAAGTGCTCCTGCCTCGAGTACGAGGGTAATATGAGCTGAATTGTTGAAGCACATGTCAATAAGAGGGTGATAATCGAATCCCTTCTCAGGTTTGAGCTTCTTTTTGGGATTCCCTGCGGGCACCGGCGCTCGATCCATATTTCCCCAGTTGAATACCACTAGGTTTAGCGATACGCTGTCTGGGTTTGAGCCTTCAATGTATTCTCTCTTCTCGTTAACACCGGCCATCCTATTGCGAACTATCTCGTAATGTGCGTCGAGCACCAGTTTGTCTTCGTAGCCAGTAAGAGAGAGAAAAGAAGCCGGGTGGCTTGTTCTAGAGTCCTTGATATTGATGTGACTCTTGTTAATGCTCTTATATTCCTCCAGGGTTGGAGCCTCTGTGGAGCTGTCATACGTATTCGGAGGATTGTTCCTAATATCATCAAGGCTGCATGGATCAACGCCTGGATGGTCCTTTTCGAACA